AGTGGTTGAGTGAGTGGGTGAGTGAGTGTTACACAGATCACGTGAAAGGCACGATTATAGTGAAAGTACTTGACGTTGGCGAGTGCCTTGACGCGTGCGGCGGCGAGGAGGACTGCGCGGCGATGCGGTGGCGAGGTAATCACAGGTGGGAACTGTATCCTCAGGACGTCAGGCGGACGACGGCGATGTGCAGCAGGTACAGGAGCGAGCGACAGAAGGTGAGGAGGGTGTGAAGAGAATTTCTCCCTTATGCCCATATAAAATCATCGATTTCTTTATGAGTTGAATGAGAACGGATTCCTTGTCAGAATCTTCTTCAATGCTTCGCAGAAATCTCTGCACGTGCCTCGTTTTTATGTCTGCTGTACCCCTGAGTTTGTGTGAGCTCTCAAACGTAAAACCGTATGCATAGAGTGTGTGTTTTGACACTTCACAATAGAGTGGCATTCGGATTTATGCACCGCTGTTGAGGGCTGATTGGGCACTGCTTTTTCAGCACTGGATTTTGAGCATCATACACCAATTTCACGGCACATGTCTCAGTACAGCATTTATCATAGCATCGGCTGCCTGGCTTGTTGCAGTTATTGCAGCAATCGTCGTATAATTTTTTGAGTAAGCCATAAAACGTTGCTGTGATATAAACAAACCATGACACATAGGAATCGGCGTGATTTTCTGAATGCATGGAACGGGTGTTCAATGTAATGGGCTGCAAGTATGATCCGCAAAGGCACTGGGAAGATGTCTTATCATTGCAGCCAACAAGGCTAAACAGATCACCTTTGGGATGATTGCTATCACTGTGAGTACCGAGTGTTGTATGGAAGTGATGACCAACTTATTGTATTGCTCACCGAAATACGCCTTCTCGACGGCTTTGTTAAATGCACTAATTCTGTGTTTCATACCCTCTCTACTATATGTTTGCAGGAATCTATGGTAAAATGCAAACATATCACCGAGAGTCTGCGGTGCATTGCGTAGCAGGCAGGTAAACATGGCACACAGCCTTGTGAGGAGATTTGTCATGGCCGCAGAGATCATTAAGCGCCAGCTTAAGATAAGCGCCATCCCTCGTGATGCGCCACTGTGGCTATGTCTGTAAAGCCCATGGGAGTGAGACATGGAATACCAAAGTGGTTAGTTAACGTACATGTCAGTTTGCAACCAGGAGAGTAATTGAATGAGGAAGGAACCCGGGGAGACCATCTTCCAGGAAGGATTGAAGTGGCGATTTTACGCCGCAGTTTGGATGTTGGTCACCCGTTTGGTCACACTTTTGGTTACATGGTTGGCTGCCTATTTGGTTGGGACATTGGTTACTGTTGCAGTTCCAGTTCGAACCCCCAATGCCGCGACCGTAGTAGCAATCGGACCAACCACTACTGTCAGGACCGTTGTGACACTGTTTGTATACGAAGCATAATTGATGATACAGCCTATTCAGTATATCTACTAGCACATCAAAGCACGCACCACCAGTACTAGGATACAATAATTTATCTGTGTTTGTATTGAACTCGCAGGCATAACGGCCGTCGGAATGTCCGTGACCCATTATGGCTTTAAGTGCTTCTGGATTTCGAGCAAACTGTGCCAAGTGCATCGTCAGCTCGTCATACTTAATTTCGGTGGTTGCTCGGAAGGTTAATTTATCGGTGGGAATTAGTGAATAATCTGGATGCTCTTTGTATGCATCAGGCTTCGGGAACAATGTCCTAATGTGGTTCTTAACTCCATCGTACACGTGATTGTACTTCAGTCCGGTGACCCATTGGAGCATCTCGTATACTGTTGTTGGTGGCCGTGTTTTCTGAGGGATGTAGTGAGACACCTTGTAGTAGCTAACAACCTGTTCGATAAGGAAGTCAACGATGTCGATGAGGTTAATAGTGATATGACTGCCGTCGCCTTGAATACTACCAGTAGCCACAGGAATAATGCCTGCAAGCTTTTTAGCTAAAGCCTGCTCTGCAGCTTTCTTTATCTCTTCTTTCTTCCACTCTTTGAGAAGACCAATTTGGGAAGCGTTAGTGATTGAATTCTCGAGTAACGTCTTAATCATTGTTCCCGTCATTTTTCCTTGTCCTGCAGTTCACCATTGTGTTTGCCCTGTTCGGATACTCCGAAGCCGATCGATTTAAGGAATTTTCCTAGGCCGTTCGATAAGTTAATTTGTGCGTTTTATTTTTTATCACTCTTACACCCATTCTGTAACCTATTCAGCTGATAGCGCACCGTCTCCATAATAGTAACCAGAATTTTTGCGCATTTCTCCTTTTCGGGATTTTTCTCGTCTGCCCAGTCTATTTTGGCATCGTCATACACCGACACGTACGCCTTTTTGAGTTCAGCGTGCATCCCTGTCAGGCCTGTTTTTAGAACGTCGAGCAGCGTGTTGCACGGGCCCTCGAAATTTGTCGGAACTAAACTATGAAGTGCACTGCTAAGATTACCAAGATTAAAGGTGAGACTGTGAGTGAAGTGATTGGAGTGTGAAGTTCGTCGAGGAGAGTGTTTAGTTTGGATTGCACGGCGTCAAGTGCGTCGGCGTAAGGATGTTTATCGGTGTCTTTGATACGGGAGGATTCTTCTTTGCGTTGATGTCTTTATAGAGTCTCTTGATCTCCGTGTCCAAATACCTTTTTAGTGGCCCGACGAATTCCTTGAATTTTGTAGACAGCGTTTTGAAGAGTTGTGCTTTCTGCTCAGCTGTGTCAGTGGACTCACTTGCAAGACTGCTGAGCAAATTAATATGTACACTCGAAGTGTCGTTATCCGAAATGACACCTTGCACAGTCCTCATGAAACCCTTAAAGCCCGTAATCAGGTCGGTGTCGATATCCTTAGGCAGAGGCTTCAATTCCTTTTGCACCCTATCGGCGAATGCATTCAGCATCTCTTTGATAGATGTTACATAATTTTTATTAGCCTGGGTGGTGAGTTTCTCGATGGCTTCTTTTACTTCGGAGTCCACGTGGGATTCAAGTGATTGGATGCATTGTTGTTGGTATTTGGAAACTTCACTTTTAAGGAGATTGTCGGTGTTTTGGATGGCTGTATTCAATTCATTGTTCAGTAGTTTTCAAGATTTTCATGTATTTTTTGAAGTGTGTTATCCGTAGCAGATTTACCGTGTTCCTTTTTACCGATCTTACTCTTAAGCTCAGTCAATTTGGCGTTGATTTTTTGGCCGACCTGTGATACGGTATCAGTGAGAGATTTCAGATTGGAGGTAATGGCTTCGGACAATGTTGCGAATTCCTTCTTATTTTTAGTAGCGGCATTCACAGCTTGGAAGTCCGTCTCCACCTGCGTCCTGATCCCCTTGATCGCCTCTGGAAGGGCGCCTTTTATATTCTCTAGGTTACCGGACGCAAGGGCTTTCAGTGCCTCTTCGTCTTGGGAGACGTGCGTGTTGTAACGGCTGAAACTTGTGGCGTCCTTAAGCTTGACATGAGTATTATCACTGCCGTTCGGCAACTGCTGCTCGAGCGTGGCGCCCACCGCTTCGATCGCTTTGTCGACGGCTTGGGCGTGGTTAGGGTTGGTACCAGACGCCCTGCCGCTGATTTTCCCAGTCGCCGTGTCAAGCTGACCGTTAAGTGACTTAACATTTGTATGTGCTTCTTTTATTTTCTCTGCAATGCTTCCTGGGCTGGACCCGGGTGGTCTGGTCTCGAGTGCTAAAGAGTGGAGCTCCTTAGCTGCCCCTCTGGCCGCACCGACGAGTTGATGAAGTAGAAGCTTGATGGCTTCTTGAAGCTTATATTGGGACTTTTCATTGCCGTAGCTTGTCGGATTCAAAACATCAGCCTTTATTTTGTCTTTTATGGTTATCGACAGCGTAAAGTTCCTGCCGGGCTGTTCCTCTGCAAGCTTAATAGCTTTTTTGATCGCCGTCTCAAGCTCTTCGGCGAATGCCTTGCAGGCGCCTTGAATATATTCCACATTGGATTTCATGTCGTTGACTGCTAGTTTAGGGAATTTAAGGTTAGCTGGTGAAATAACAGCGCTAATGAGCTCATCCCTTATTTTAGCGGACATTTTGCTAACAATATTTATATTCATTCCTGTAGTTCCATAAGAATTATAATTGGTGCTCAGTTGACTCGTGTTGTCTTTTAAATACCCATCAATTTTCTCTTTCACAATAGTCTCTGTTTCCAAAATCTTCTGAATCCACCCCTTCACTGTATTTTCAAAATTTGCGTCCCTAAACCCCTCCGCATACTCCTTTAACATTTTTAATGCCCTCGAATCCCATGGCAAATGCATCATTATCTCCCGCCTGCCCATTAATTTGAATAACCTTATTCCTAATCTTGTCAAACACCTCATCAATGTTTTTTGGAGTGCCTTTTTGATCACTAAACACCTCCCCAAGCTCCCCAATCTTCCTATTAATCTCCTCCACCTTCCCTTTTATCTCCCCCCTCACCCCAAACAAATCCTGCTTCAGCTGCGCGTCCATCGTTTTCACGGCCTGGAGCGCGGCGTTTACATTAGTAGCAACTTGATTCTTCGCATTCTCAAATTGCTCGAAAACATATTCACCCTTCTCTTTCAATTCTTTTGTTTTCTGCCTTATTACATCATCCTTTGGCCACCCGACATCTTTATGCGCAATCTTTTCACCTCCTTCATTGCCTCATCCACATCAATGTCCGTCTCGTTAATCCACTTTCGTAGAGCTTCCAAATAATCCCGCAGCTTCCTTTCAATCTCCTTAAGCAATTTGAAAATTCCTGTAACCTTCTCCTTCACCTGCCGAACAAGAGCCATAACATCCTCATTAATTTTCTTAGTCACACATCTCTTTAGCCCACCCAAAGAATCATTGATCGTTTGAATCATTTCCCCCAAGTCTGTTTTTTCCTTGGCCGACAGTTCACCGAGACGCTTACCTTCATGAACAATATTATCGATCGCCGTCTCTATTTTTAATCTTAACTCAGCATTCAGGTCCTTAAAATCCTCCTTGTCTTCATACTTCACAGGCCTGTTAACACGCAGGCCGTTTCTGTATTCGGCGCGTCTACCACTCGAAGCGTCTCTGGAATCGTCATATATTTTATCACGAAAATCATTTTTGAAATCCGTACCTTTAGAAGCATACGTCTTGACCAAGGCCTCCGCCGACTTCACAGCACTGGAAAGGTCAGCGTCCTGAGAAACATTATTTTCATTTATGGCATTCAACTTATCTGTTAAAGTCTGTCCAACACTATCACGCAATGTAGTAATAACATCACTAACACTCTCATTCGACGCTGCCACTCTCTCATTATAGTCATGTACACCATCGGCCACCGCGGCTATCGCCGCCTTGTATTTAGCAATACCATTAAGATTTGTGTCTTTAAGTGAGTTAAGTGCGGTATCTAAAGTGTTTTTATGTAAGCCTAATTTAGGATGAATGTTATCTAAAACTCCATGAAGGAAAGACATCACCCCGTCGCAGAGCCTGTCGAGGTCGGAGTACACGATGCCGGAGCCATCGTAGCCTTTGGAAGTTTCTTGGTAACCAAGGAACTTCTCCAAGCCTTCAGTGAGATTTTCTAAAAGTTTTGTTGCAGGATTATCATTTCCATCATTTTCTTGTCCAATAAAAGCTTCAAGATTTTTTGTAAGCTCCTTAAGTTTATTCTGCCTTTCAGTTATATCCCCCAAGGCTCTGTTTCTAGCATCTTCAGTAAGGTAATGAACTTCATTGTAATGGTTATTGTAGTTGGATTGAGGGTGGATTAAGGGAGAGTTGAAAGAAGTAAAGGGGGATGAAATGGCACATTATAAGGGCGATTTGGGGGAGTTTGGGAAAAAGCGATTTTAGGTCAAGGAGGCAGTGAGGCAGCGAGGGAGGTGGGTGGACAGGGCGAGGGAGGTGAAGGGGCGAAAGAGGGCGACGAAGGGGGAAGATGGGTTGAGGTAAGGCGATTTCGGAGGTGGAGGGAGAAGGTGGAAAATGAGGGTTTGGGCGAAGGACGCCGACGGAGGAGGTGAGGGAGGAGGGAGGCAGGGAGCGAAGCGACCAGTGAAGAGAAGTGATGAACAAGTGGGTGTGAATTGAAGTAAGTGATGTTGAATGGTTGAGTAGGAGTAGGTGAGTGGGTGGGTGAGTGAGTGAGTGGTTGAGTGGGTGAGTGGGTGGTTGAGTGGTTGAGTGGTTGGGTGGTTGAGTGGTTGAGTGGTTGAGTGGTTGAGTGGGTGAGTGAATGAGTGAGTGAGTGAGTGGTTGAGTGGGTGAGTGGGTGGTTGAGTGGTTGAGTGGGTGAGGAGGGACTGCGCGGCGATGCGGTGGCTTGAGGGTGAGCGCAGGTGGGAGCGTATCCTGAAGACGTCGAGGCGGACGACGGCGATGTGCAGCAGGTACAGGAGCGACAGCGACCAGAGGGATAACAATAGGTAGGAGAAGAAGTTGAGAAATGTTGAAAAATTATTTTAGGCACATTTTCAGGGCGATTTGGGGGAATTTGGGGAAAGGCGATTTTAGGTCAAGGAGGCAGCGAGTGGTTGAGTGGTTGAGTGGTTGAGTGGGTGGGTGAGTGGGTGAGTGAGTAGGTGAGTGAGAGGGTGAGTGAGTTGGTAGGTGGTTGAGTGGGTGGTTGAGTGGGTGAGTGATACACAGATCACACGTGAAGGCACGATTATGGTGAGAAGTACTTGACGTTGGCGAGAGCCCTGACGTGTGCGGCGGCGAGGAGGGACTGGGCGGCGATGCGGTGGCTTGAGGGCGATCGCAGGTGGGAGCGTATCCTCAGGACGTCGAGGCGGACGACGGCGATGTGCAGCAGGTACAGGAGCGACAGCGACCAGAGGGCTAATAAGAGGTATGAGAATGGGATTCTAATGTACCATAATATATCATCGCATTTTTCTAATAGCGTTTTGAAATGGTCCGACTCGATGACCTTTTTAAGTTGATAATAGAAATTATGGCAGAAGCGTCTGTCTGGATTATCCATCAACTTTTTGGAATCACCAAATGTGAATCCATAGTTGTTTAGTATCATGCGTACGCCATGGCACTGCACATAACTCTTGCAGGTACACTGGAATTGGAGTCCATGTTTTCCTACTGCGCAATTACATGCCGAACAACCACCGGCTTTGCAATCGATATTGCAAAAGTCCTCAAACAGTGATTTCAGAAGATTGTAGAAATCAAAAGGCAAATAAGTAAGCCATGACAGATAAAGGTTTGCGTGCTTTGTAGCATATGTGTGATGGGCATCAGCACAGAGAGGTTTGAGATATGGAGCGCAATCTTTGCTTTGTGCCGAACACATAAGATCGGAATGTATAGCAACTTCAGTGCACAGGCTATATAAATCGGAGTGAGTGACGCCGGGAATCTTGTCGTTGTGATCAGACGTTGAACCAGATAATGATTTTAATTGGCTAGTGAACTTTGTGGCTTCATCGGCATATAGCCTCAAGGACATTGCAGGAATAGTATTCGTATTCATATGGTTCACCAATCTGTCGCTGGTAGAAAACTTGCCAGATGACAACTGTCTGAAGATATTGGCAAAGAATGAGAATTGATCTGCCAGAGATTTAGGCGGCGTCGGTGATACCTGCATCAAATAGTTTAGCAGCGTGGGCAACGGCGAGTCCGCACTACCGCAAAATTCGGAAAGCACGTTGCATATATCTTTACCCGTGCCCTTTTTGGATCCGGCATGAGTCAAATCCCAGAAGCCCATGGGCGTCAAACATACCATGCCAGGTGACTGCTTAGGACATGTCGAACACTTGGATGTGCAGCCAACAGAGGATAGTTTGTGAGGCAAGTGACCTGGTAACCCGTCCATTAGGTGAGCCTGTAGAGGTGATTTTGGATAACAAGTTGTTTGGTCATTTGGTTGGCACTTTGCCTGGCACTTTGGTTCGGTCTTTGCTTGGCACATAGGTTTGTCGACTGACTTCTTGCAGTCCCACTGGTAACCGGAAACTTTGCCGCCGTATTGGCAGTCACGCCAACCGTTGCCATCGGCTACGGTGTATCTACACTGCGAATACAAAGAATATAGAGCACGCAACAAACACGTACATATTGCTTTTAACATATCGAACAACTCAGAAGCTCTTTGAGGATAGTAAAAGTTACGTGAATTATCACAGAAATTAGAGGCGTAAGGATAGTCGGCAGTTGGGGCCCCGTGGCCGTGGCCCTGGATTGTGACTAGGAGATTGTGTGAAAGTTGACACGTGGATGCTATGACGCTAACTAGTCCCATGTCAAGGATTGGTCTAAGAACAGGATCCTCCTTATTCGGGTATTTATCGGTGCCATTTATTTTCTCGTTGAGCATTGTGTTACAATGTGTCTTAATGCTCTGATAGACTGCAGTGTACGGGAGTCCGCACATCCAACCAAGCATATCACGAATGGAGCATGGAGATTTAGGGGCAGTAGGAATTCTAGTGTGACAGACACTGTAGTAAGTGGCTAAGTGACGGTAGAGCAGGGACATCGGTCCCCATTCTCGCCTAATGGAATTAAGGTATGTACCGACGTCAGAATACCTGAGATCCGAAGGGGTGTCGAAATCGTCGTAATTTGAAAACGCCGTCTTCAGCTTCTCGGCGACTTCCTGACCTGTGTGATTTTTGTTGATAAGGTTCACAGTGTTGTAGCCTTGACTCTCCAAATATTTTTCAAAGTCTCCTTTATTCTTCGTCACTTTCTCGCTGCCGTCAATTTTCAGTTTACTCCAGTCTTTGTGGCAACTGTAGAACAGATGATACAGTTCTTCATAAAGCGTTGACGTTGAGGTAAGCATGATGTTGGCGTACTTGTCAGCATGATTCTTCTTCCAGTCTTCACCGGAGTATTTGTTAACATACGCATGGCCAAGCTGCGTGACAATGTCCGGGAGACCCTTAGTCAAAGCATTTAGCAGCAACGGGCAGTCGCCGTCACCGAATTTCTGCGGAACCAATTCGCCTAGTCGGTTTTTAAGTGTTTGAAGATTTACTCTAAAGTCATGATTAAAGTGCTGTGAGGTGACAAGACCACTCAACAATTTGGTTAGAGCCTCCTTCGAAGGCCACAATTTGTCGTAATTGGGGGGAGAAATCTGTCTGCTTTCTCAACTTGTCGAATAGTGCAGTGAATGCGTTGTTTAAGAATTTTGCTCCTTTGCTCAGCGGGGAATTTTCGTTTGGACGAACTACTGTATCGATGGCATCAATCTGTTGCACCTCCAAAATAAATTCGCTTTCCAACTTCTCCATGAACCCCTTAACGCCGATGTGTTTGTCATCCTCAATCTCTTGAGGCAAGTCTTTCAGTTCCCAATTTGTTTGATTCGCAAACTCTGTGAGTAGTGAAATGATAGACGTCACATATTGTCGGCGCGCTTGCGTCGTAATTTTTTCAGTTGCATCTTTGACTTCCTGGTTAACGTGAGCGTGGAGACTGTCGATGATTGGAGCGCTTATTGCAAAGGCGTCTGTTGTGATAAAAGTGTCGGCGGTTTCGATGGCGTTTACCAAAGTACGTCCCATGAGTTCGCTAAGATCATTCACAATCTTTTGAAGTTGCTCAGATTTACCGCCTTTAAGCATTACTGTTTGGAAGTCTGTTAATATTTGTTTGAGGCCTTTTAGCGACTCATTACTGGATGAGTTATCTGCGATGTCTTTGACTGCCTTGCACAGGGCAGCAAATTTTTCGGTAACTGTTCCAGAGTGCTTTATAAGCGTCAATCTGGCCTCCTTGGCGCTGCTTTCAAGGTGTGGAACAGCCTGCTTCACGGTGTTAAGTGTAGGCACAACGGTCCCATTAACCGCATTCTGCAGCTGCCCGATTGCTTTATCTGCTGTCGCTTTGAGGAGCGTGGCAAGTTCATTGTTGACCTGCATGTCGTTCACTTTCCCCGAAATTCCTGCTTCGACAGTTTGACCAAGAATATTTTTCGGGCTGGTGGACCCGGAGTCCCCAGTTGCCGTGTCAAGATTGTCGTGAAGGTGACTAATTTGGTTACTGACTGCGTTCAACACCCTGGTAATCTTGTCGCCTGGCTGGCCGTTTTTGCCGTCGCCAAGTGCCTTCTTGATTTCTTCGACATTCCATATAGCATCCTCTACACTTTGGCCGAGGTTGAATGGGGGAGCCTTCTCCTTGGTAGTGAAAGACCCAAGAGCAAGGGCAGTCTGCTTTGCTGTAGCAACAATATGGTGTAGAGCGTATTGTACTGCTGGAAAGAAATGGCGTGTGTCATGCTTGCTTTTATTGACTGAATCATACAATTCAGTATCACCTTCAATCTCCCCGGATATTCCAGAGGCAACATCCACAACCCCGCCAGTTTTCAGCTTATCCCCGAGTTTGCTGGCAAATGTATTGCAAACCGCCTGGATTTGTTTAACACTCTTCGTGATATCGCTGTCCGTGCCACTAAGGACAGCTTTAGCTTCAGCAGCTTCCTTAATAATTCCCCCATTGTTGTCCTTCAGCTTTTTTATAATTGCATCTGTGATTTTGCCGTTGAGCTTTGGATAAATTCCACTGCCACTAGGTTCCTCTGTCGTATAAGGCCCTTTAAGTTCACCACCATTACTGCTGTTATCCTCAATATACTTCTTAATATAGCCCCTAACTGGCTCGTTAGCCAGAATCCTCGCAATCCATCCCTCCAGCTTTTTGTCAAATTTAGTTCTGAAACTATTAGCATACGCCGCCACCCTCGTTTTTATGCCCATCAGGCCTTTGTATTTTTCGTTACCATCGTCTGTGCCTGGCCCATTAATCTCTGCAACAAGCTCCTTAACGTGTTTCGCAAATTCATCCCATTTTTCGAACATACCGCTCTTTTTGCTTTTACCATTTTCACCAAGCCACCCCTTAATTAACCCAACTTCTCCCCTAATTCTATTGAGAACATCATCAACATATTTTTTCAAACTATTATTAAGCTCCTTCTTAAGCCCGTCGATTTCACCACTCAAATTCCATCCAGTGGCAATCTTCTGGTTAAACATATCAAAAGATTCTGGCACTTTGAAATGTTCAAAGGCTTTAAGATTTTCAAGCTTCTTAAGCACGTCGTCATCTTTTTTCTCTGTTCCCACCACGCTGTCGAAATGCTTCTTCACCTTCACAAAATGCGCATTAAGTGTAGTAGTCATATTCGAAATATCCTGAGCCGCCTTCTCAATCTCTTTCTTATTGTTCGCCTTTTCACTCGGTTTCGGATCATTCACCTCTTTTAGTATGGCTTCCACCTTCTTCAATGCCGTAGTCATAATTTCATCTGCAGCACCTATCCATTTCTGCAAGTCTGCAACATACTCTACCAACTTCTGATGGATGTCTTCAATTTGTTTCTTGATACCGCTAATCAATGCTTTCAGCTGCCTCACTAGATCAGTGACTTGTTCGCTTATTTTATCATTTATGTTCCTTTTTAGGGCGTTAAGCACCTCGCTGGTTTTATTCGTCAAGTTAGCTAGGTTGGTCCACTCTCTGGTGGAGAGGTCACGGAGCCTCTTAATTTCGTGGTTAACTGCTTTAACAGCATTATTTACATTGTGTCTACAACTGTTATTTAGGTCGGCTATGTGTTTATGTGCATCATTCATATATCTGTGAAATGCTCCAGCTGTCATGAGACAGTCCCTCGCCACGTTGTCGGCCTTGGTCATGATCTTGGAAAGATCTTGATCACCTGCAACAGAATTAATCTCCAATATTTCACTTACCGTTTCCTTGAGATTTCTCATTTGCCCGTCGAAATCTTGAATCTTGCTCTTGAGATGATTGTTCGACTCCCTCACACCCTCATTATACTTGCTCACCCCCTGGACCACTTCGCCAATTGCCTTATTAAAACCCTCTTTACCAGAGTGTTTATTGGTGTTAAGAGAGTCAATTGCCTTTGTAATTGTATCATTATGTAAGCCTAATTTAGGCTGAATGTTACTAAGAACACCATGAAGGAAAGACATCACCCCGTCACACAGCCTGTCGAGGTCCGAGTACACGATGCCAGTGCCATCGTAGCCTTTGGAAGTTTGATTGAAGCCTAGAAACTTTTCTAAACCTTCAGTGAGATTTGTTAAAAGATTTTTACATGTTTCAGCGTTATCTTTGTCTTCTCCAATAAAGCCTTCAAGTTTTTTTTGAAGCTCACCAAGATTCTTCTGCCGCTCCTCAAGATCCTTCTTAGCTCTATCCCTTTTAGAGTCAGAGGAATGTACTTCACCATAATGGTCTTTATACTTGGATTGTAACTTAGATTTTTCATCACCATTGGCTTTAGCAATTTTGTCTTTAAGTGTCTTACAATGAGGATGATCGGGACTTTCAGAGCATTTAAGTTCATCTTCTTTTTCTTTGAGACTCTTAGTAGCATTTTCAATAGCCCCTTCAATCAACTTTTTCAAAGCGTCAGCCAAGTTCTTAAGACCTTCACCACCATTCCCATGCTTAACCTGGATCAACCAGTCGATGGAGGCCGACGAAGGAGGCTGAGAAGGGAGGTCAAAAGTGGTGAGAGAAGAAAGTGGAAAAAAGGTTAGATAAAGATTAAAGGAGGTGAAATAGCACATTTTCAGGGCGATTTGGGGGAATTTGGAGAAAGGCGATTTTAGGCCAAGGAGGCAGCGAGGGAGGTGGGTGGACAGGGTGCGGGAAGCGAAGGGGCGAAAGAGGGCGATGAGGGAGGAAGATGGGTTGGGATAAGGCGGTTTTGGAGGTGGAGGGGGAAGGTGGAAAATGAGGATTTGGGTGAAGGACGCCGACGGAGGAGGTGATGGAGGGGGTGATGAAGGAGGGAGCGAAGCGACCAGTGAAGGAGGTGAGTGAGTGAGTGAGTGAGTGGGTGGGTGAGTGGGTGAGTAGTTGAGTGGGTGAGTGGTTGAGTGGTTGAGTGGGTGATTAGGTGGTTGAGTGGGTGGTTGAGTGGTTGAGTTGGTGGGTGGTTGAGTGGGTGGGTGAGTGGGTGGGTGGTTGAGTGGGTGGGTGAGTGGGTGGTTGAGTAGGTGAGTGGTTGAGTTGGTGAGTGGTTGAGTGAGTGAGTGGGTGGGTGAGTGGGTGAGTGAGTGGGTGGTTGAGTGGGTGAGTGGGTGAGTGGTTGAGTGGGTGGTGAGTGGGTGGTTGAGTGAGTGGGTGAGTGGGTGAGTGGGTGGGTGGTTGAGTGGTTGAGTGAGTGGTTGAGTGGTTGAGTTGGTGGGTGGTTGAGTGAGTGGTTGAGTGGTTGAGTTGGTGGGTGGTTGAGTGGGTGGTTGAGTGGTTGAGTGAGTGAGTGGTTGAGTGAGTGGTTGAGTGGTTGAGTGAGTGAGTGGTTGAGTGAGTGAGTGGGTGGGTGAGTGGGTGGGTGGTTGAGTGGTTGAGTGAGTGGTTGAGTGGGTGAGTGGGTGAGTGGGTGAGTAGTTGAGTGGGTGAGTTGGTGGTTGAGTGTGTGAGTGAGTTGGTGGTTGAGTGTGTGAGTGAGTGGGTGGTTGAGTGGTTGAGTGGGTGAGTAGTTGAGTGGGTGAGTGGTTGAGTGGTTGAGTGGGTGAGTAGTTGAGTGGGTGAGTGGTTGAGTGGTTGAGTGGGTGATTAGGTGGTTGAGTGGGTGGTTGAGTGGTTGAGTTGGTGGGTGGTTGAGTGGGTGGGTGAGTGGGTGGGTGGTTGAGTGGGTGGGTGAGTGGGTGGTTGAGTAGGTGAGTGGGTGGGTTAGTGAGTGGTTGAGTGGGTGAGTGAGTGGGTGAGTGGGTGAGTGGGTGGGTGGTTAGGTGAGTGAGTGGTTGAGTGGGTGGTTGAGTGGTTGAGTGAGTGAATGGGTGAGTGGTTGAGTGGGTGGTTGAGTGGGTGGGTGGTTGGTTGAGTGAGTGGGTGAGTGGGTGGTTGAGTGGTTGAGTGGTTGAGTGGTTGAGTGGGTGAGTGGGTGATTAGGTGAGTGGGTGAGTGGGTGGTTGAGTGGTTGAGTGGTTGAGTGGTTGAGTGGGTGAGTGGGTGATTAGGTGAGTGGGTGAGTGGGTGGGTGGTTGAGTGAGTATGTGGGTTGGTGGTGAGTGGGGTGGTTGAGTGAGTGGTGAGTGGGTGGTTGAGTGGGTGGGTGAGTGGGTGGGTGAGTGGTTGAGTGGGTGGTTGAGTGAGTGAGTGAGTGGGTGGTTGAGTGAGTGGGTGAGTGGGTGGGTGAGTGGGTGGGTGAGTGGGTGGGTGAGTGTTGAGTGGTGGGTGAGTGAGTGAGTGAGTGAGTGGGTGAGTGAGTGAGTGGGTGATTAGGTGAGTGAGTGAGTATGTGAGTGAGTAGTTGAGTATGAGTGGGTGATACACAGATCACACGTGAAGGCACGATTATGGTGAGAAGTACTTGACGTTGGCAAGTGCCTTGACGCGTGCGGCGGCGAGGAGCGACTGCGCGGCGATGCGGTGGCTTGCGGGTGATCGCAGGTGGGAGCGTATCCTCAGGACGTCGAGGCGGACGACGGCGATGTGCAGCAGGTACAGGAGCGACAGCGACCAGAGGGCTAACAATGTGGTCATAAAAGGCATCCTAATATCACGCAGGAACTCATCACATTTGGTGAATAAATCTATGAAATACTGCGAATGAAGGAGGCTTTTCAACTGATTGTGGAATGCAATGCAGGTTTTCGGTGAAGTTTTATTATGCAACGCCGATGCGTCACCAAATGTGAAACCATATTTATATAGCATTGGAGACACGCCTCTGCAGCTGACTACAGATATACACTGACATGGATTGCTTTCATCGCCGTGCTTTCCGGGTTTACAAGCTTCGCTATGAAAGCATCCACGACAACCCCAGTCCTTACAAACTACGTTTTTGAACTCATCAAATAGATTTTGAAGGTATTGCCAGAATGTCCACGGCAAGTAAATTGCCCATGTCAGGTATGTGTCAGAGTTCTTGTGAACTACGTAATAATATGCGTCATCGCATAAAGAATTGAGATAGGGAGCGCAGTGGACATTCATGCTAGAAAATGGACAAACCTTTTTCATGGAAGGCTGGACAGGTCGGTGTTTTTAGATGTCGGATGCGGCGATACGTGAGTGTTCTGAGTGGCGCCATACGCCTTACGAAGTGCGGTAGTTAACTCGGGCGGATTTTTATATAACTCAATAGACACCTTCTTAATGGACGACTCGACTGCAGTTTTCACTGGACTGCCGCTAGTGGGATGCCAGCCTCTAACTAAGCACAATGTAAATCCGAGGTGCTCTGCCAATGTGGCAGGCGGCTTGGGTGCCAGCAAGAAAAGGGCTGGGATGTAGTCATCACCAAGGAATATATCAATGAATCGACATAGCTCCTTGCCCGTCCTCGTGCTTCCTGAAAATGTGCGGAAGCCGAGAGGTGTTAAGCATGGCATTCCGGGTTTACCAGTGGGACAGGTAGCACATGTGTATTGACAGCCAATGGAACTGACATTATGAGGCAAGTGACCAGGTAGGCAGTCATTTAGGTAACTCATTAGTGGTGATCTAGGTTGACACTTAGGTTTGGTGTTTGCCTGGCAGTTTGGTTGGCATTTTGGTTTACCATTTGCCTGGCATGTTGATTCACATGTTGAGTGATCACTACATGGGAATTTGGTTGTGAGGATATCTCTGCCGTAGAGACATTGTGACCAACCGCTGTACTTCACGCTGAGACTGCATTGGCTACACAGGAATTTTAGGGGTAAGAACATTCGACGAAGCAAGTCAAGAAGCATCTGCAGACACGCTCCCCCGGAGGATGGGTATTGTAGATTTAGTGAGTTATTAGAAACATCACACGCATATGTGCAGTCTGCATCACCGGTGCCGAGGATGGAGTTGAGTAGGGTCTGGGATTTAGAACAGAGATGGTCAATTGCGGAATGCGCGTCCTTCGCGGTAACGTTAATTGGAGATGCATCTAGTGTCAGATATATTAGGTCTATGTCGGAATATTCTATGTGCTCTTGTCCCTTGGGCTTATTAAACAGTGTTCTACAGTGATCTTTGAGCTTGCCATAAACCTTATTATGTGGGAGACCGGAGAGCCAGCAGAGCATCTCGTTGACAGAACACGGTGACCTAGGTGACGCGATATGCTTACAGTGACCGACTTGGTAAAATTCATAAACATGGGATTTAAGACAGGAGATGAAGTCCATGAGATTATAACCATTTTTCTTATTTTGTTTGTCTGTTATACACGTTGTGAGGTGTGGGATAGTGTTGCTGCCGTTAATCGCCTTGGCGAGATTGGCAATAATATCTGCACCGGTGCATTTCTTCTCATTTTGCAACTCGCCGTCTTGACTGGAGTAACGTCTTGCCACGTCATAGCCGACAGTCTTCAGATAACTGCCGAGGCTGCTAGGCGCGCAAATTTGTTTTGCAGACCAATCCGTATTGCATCGGTCCTTCAACGTAGTCAACTCACTGTACAGCATAGGTATTACACTCAACCCTATTTTGCCATAGTTATCCCTGAAGCCAGGATCCCATGTATGGCCTGAATATCTGTTGACGTACGCGTTTCCTAGCTCAGAGCCAAAAGCTTCCAGGCCATTTTTGAGCGCCTCGGCGAGCGGGTTGGATGCGTCGGCAAGGGATGTGAAACGCATTTCGGCAAGACATTTTTGGAGTTCTGAGAGATTTTTGCGGAACTGGTGATCGAAGTGATGCGCGGCAAGGACGTCGAGCAGCGCGTCAAGTTGGTAGGGGGAGGTACGTAACACGATGCTGGAGATGGTCCGGCTCATTGAATTCGCCTGAGATGTATGTAATTATTGACTTCAGATAATCTCTCACCTTGGGACATGCGTCGGCTAATTTAGATTTATCTGCATTTTCTATTGCTGTCTTAAGCTTGCTGAGTAAATTATTCGGATCTAAAGTGCCTGGCACATCCGGGGGATCACCACCGTATATTGCTTTCATGAAACCCTTGTGACCATTTTTTGAATCAGCACTAATCATACCAGGTAACCCGCCTAATTCGTCATTTACTTTGTCAACAAAAGCTATGAGCAGGCCTTTTATAGAAGTTATGTACTGCTTTTGAACGTTCGCTGTGATTTTATTAACGGCCAGTTGGATTTCATTGTTGACTTGTTGGGTAAGGGTTCGAATTGTGTTTTGGGCCCTTCTTTCGGCGTGCTGTGCGAGAAAATGTTTCAGCATTTTAATGGGACCGTTCTGCAAATCCTTCTGCAGATCACTTATCTTTTTCGTAATTCCGGCAAGTTGATTACTTTCCGTTCCCTTTAGATGCTTATTTTGAAGCTTAATCAGTTGCACGTTCACAGAGTTTGCCACGCCCGAAATTTCCGTGAGTAAGGAATTAAGGTGTTCTTTGATGTCTTTGGACAGAGTCTCGAGGGGCGTAGTATGGCTGGCGTTCAGGTCCTTGGATTTGTCGGTGACTGATTTTATCGCCTTGTCCAGGTTGTCAGAATACTTGTCGCTGGCGAGTGCGCCAGTCGCCTTCTGAAGCTGACTGTGAAGGCTCTCAGCCTTCTTATGAGCCTCTTCTATTTTTCTTGCGATGCCATTATCGGATGCCACCGGCCTGCGCTCGAGGAGGAGCGAGTGGAGTTCGGCAGCCGCCCCTCTGGCCGCACCGGGGAGTTGGTGTAGCATATAACGGACGGCCCAGTCGAGATATCCTTTGGCAGTTTGATCCGAATATTGATCTCCCAACTGTGTAGCCATCGCTGTGCCTACTGGTTGAATAAGCTTGTCGATTCCCTCTGGCGCAAGTTTCTTATCAAGCTCATCGGCGAACGCCGCGCAGGCAGTATGGACATTTTCAACATATGCATCAATTTTCTTTGCGTTATCCTCTTCTTCACCAACCATAGCTTGAATTCCCGCAATAACGCCGCCATCAAGTTTGCTGATAATTACACTCGCAATTTTTTTAGTAAGCTGTGTCATGATTTCATTTTCGCCTTCACCGCTATAAGGATCTTTAAAATTGGCACCAATAGCCTGTCCACACCAACCAATCCAGTGTCTAACTGTAACATTACTCTCCAATATGTCTTCCACCCACTTAGGCAACACATTCTCCTGAAATTTCTTAAATCCCTCCGCATAGTCCTGAACAGCGTCTTTAATGCCCTCAAAACCCAGATAAAGTGAACTCCCCGGCTTCCCTTAATTTGCGCAACCTGAGCGTGAATATGCTCGAAAACGTCATGAATACTTTGTTTGGTTCCTGTGGTACTCCACCGCGGGCGTCCTTAGGAAACTGTTGGCAGAGCTCCTTAACCTTCAAATTAACATCTTCAGCCTTCTCCGTCACCTCTCTAATATACTCATCAAACATATTCTTCAAGCCCTTCAACTGCTCCGCTTTTGCTGCAATCGCATCCTGTTGCTGCTTGCCGACATTCTTGTTGACAATCTCATTCGCCGTTGCTTCCGCCGCGTCGATGTCCTTACCGGCCTGCTGTGCCCACTCATTCAACGCGATGACATACTGTGCCAACTTATCATTGATGTCGTCGAGTTTTTTAAATATTTCAGTAACTGCATCTTTCAGAGCCTTTACAAGCTCATTAACTTTTGCTTCGATTTTTTCACGTGCGCCTGCTTTCAGCGCGTTAATCGCTTCACTAAGCTTAGCCTTCGTCTCTGTCAACTCTTCTTTTTCCTTGTCCGACAAGGCCCTCAGCCTGTCGATCTCATGCTTAACGCTTCGTATAGCGTTCGTGACTCTATGTGCTAATGTAGGATCTAAGTCATTAATTGCATTTTTAGTTGCTTCTATAGTGATATTTAGTGTGTCATTAAACGTTCTAGCAAAACCCTTGCATTCTCCCAACTTCTGCTTAATCGATACTTCAGCTTGTCCAATTAGCTTGGCGTCACCTGCAACAGCATCATTGCTTAATATTCCACTTACCTCACTCTTAAAGTCTTCATTCACCTGCGAAAGTATGAGAGTAATTGGCCCACTCACCTTTTTGTTGGACTCCCTCACACCCTCATTATACCCTTCACCCCTGGACCACTGCGCTAATCGCTTCATTAAAACCATCTTTGCCGGAGTGTTTATTGGCGTTAAGAGACGTAATTGCACTTTGAATTTCATTACTATGTAATCCTAATTTAGGCTTAATGCTATGTAAAACACCATGAAGGAAAGACATCACCCCGTCGCACAGCCTGTCAAGGTCCGAGTACACGATGCCGGAGCCGGTGTAATTCCCTTTCTCGTAGCCGAGAAATTTTTCGAGGCCAGAGCAGAGGTTATTTAATAATGTTGATGAAGGATAATTTTAGGCACATTTTTAGGGCGATTTGGGGAGTTTGGGAAGGCGATTTTAGGTCAAGGAGGCAGTGACGGGGTGAGGGAGGTGGGTGGACAGGGTGAGGGAGGTGAAGGGGCGAGAGAGGGCGATGAAGGAGGAAGATGGGTGAAGGTAAGGCGATTAAGGAGGTGGAGGGGGAAGGTGGAAAATGAGGATTTGGGTGAAGGACGCCGGAGGATGAAATGAGGCAGGGGGCGACAGCGACCAGTGAAGGAGGAAGGTGAGTGGTGGGTGAGTGAATGGGTGGTTGAATGGTTGAGTGGTTGAGTGGGTGGGTGAGTGGTTGAGTGGTTGAGTGGGTGAGTGAGTGAGTATGGTTGAGTGGGTGGTTGAGTGAGTGGTTGGGTGAGTGGGTGAGTGGTTGAGTGGGTGAGTGAGTATGTGAGTGGATGGGTGGTGAGTGGTTGAGTGGGTGGGTGGTTGAGTGGTTGAGTGAGTGGTGAGTGGTTGAGTGGTTGAGTGGGTGAGTATGTGAGTGGTTGAGTGAGTGGGTGAGTGGGTGGTTGAGTGTGTGAGTGTGTGAGTGGGTGAGTGTGTGAGTGGGTGGGTGAGTGAGTGAGTGGTTGGGTGAGTGGTTGAGTGAGTGAGTGGGTGAGTGGGTGATTGGTTGAGTGAGTGAGTGGGTGAAGGCACGATTATGGTGAGAAGTACTTGACGTTGGCGAGTGCCTTGACGCGTGCGGCGGCGAGGAGGGACTGCGCGGCGATGCGGTGGCTTGAGGGCGAGCGCAGGTGGGAGCGTATCCTCAGGACGTCTAGCCGGACGACTACGATGTGCAGCAGGTACAGGAGCGAGAGCGACCAGAGGGCTACCAGTGTCCAGATGAAGGGTTCACGAATTTTGAATAAGAATTCTGGAATTGTTTTATATACCAGTTTTGACAATACTGATCTTTTGCCCAGCATAATTGCCAATTGCTTCGTGAAATCGCTGCATGATCTTTTTGACCAATAATGTTTTCCATCACTACCAGTCAGCATCTTCCTGTCGCCGAATGTAAAACCGTATGCATATAATGTTGGCAATGTCATACTGCAATATAGAATGGAATTACATTCTGGCCAATGTTTATAAGATGGATCATCGGGAGAGTTGGCGAAGGCCAAGCACTCCTTATGACAACCAATAATGCGGCATCTTGACCCAGGCGAACAACAGTTGCGTTCGCAATTTTCCATTATTCTGCGAAGCAAATGGTAAAACGTTTCGGTTAGATAAACCATCCAAGACAGGTAGAGGTTGGCATTTTTGGAAGCGAAGATATTACAAATATCGGAGTTTAAGGACTCCATATACGACCCACATTTTTTGTTGCCAATGTAACATGTAACTTCGGTGGTAGATAGACAAGTTAAATAGCCGGCAGCATGGCTCGAGGAATGCTTATCCGGTGTAAACAACTCTGAGCATTCATTCAATTCTGGGTATGGTGAACCAAAATACGCCTTCTTGACGGATGTCTCGAACGCAATTTCCCTGTGCATCTCGCGTACTCCACTGCCGTGAAGATACCACCTATTATTGAAATTGAAGTAGAAAGCAAACATGTCTCCCAGAGATTTAGGAGCGCTGGGGAGCAAGCAGCTGAAAACACTGCACAGTCTAGTCAAGGAGACAATTCCGTGCCGCAGAAATCGGTCAGAACCATGTATATATCCATTCCTGTTTTCGTGTGCGATGCAGTGGTAGCGATTTCAGGGAAGCCCATGGGCGTTTTACATGGTTGGCCAGGCGGTGTCTGACTACAGGAGGAACATGACATCTTTGTTCCTTTAACTGATACCTTATGTGGCAAAAAGCCCTGCAACCCATCTTCCAAGAAGGATTGTAATGGTGATTTTAGTCCGCAGTTGGGATGTTGGTCACACTTTTGCTTAGTGTTTTGGTTGCCTATTTGCTTGGCACATAGGTTGGCACTGGTTGGCCAGTTGTTTGCAGTGTTGGTCACACGTTTGATTGGCATACGTCAACGTATTACACTGCCAATTGGAGCCACCAACGCCGCGCCCATATGAACAGTCACGCCACCCGCTAAGTTTGGAGGTATATTTACACTGTCGACAAATGAAAGAAAGCTGGTAGTAGATGCGCTTCAGGACGTCGAGTAACATGCATACTAACGTAGACATACTACTGGGATAATAAAAATTTAGTGAATTGTTCGAGAAGTCAGAGGCATATATGCCCGCTGAGTGGCCGTGGCCGAGGATAGTAGTAAGTACACGGTGAGAGTGCTGGCATACACGTTTAATCGCCGGCACCAAATCATCATAGTTGATGGTATATGGGTAGGCACCAAGTTGCAATTCAGATGACGGAATTTCTGAGTAATCCCTCTTGTCATCTTTCTTCGGTTTATCGAACAGTTCCCTACAGTACACGCTAAATTTGTCAAACACTTGATTGTGTGGGAGACCAATCAGCCAGACTAACTGTTCGTAAACAGAACACGGAGACCTCTTGACAGAGATTGTAGAATGGTGGCAAACTTTATTATATTCGTCAAGATGGGACATGAGGCACGCTATGATACTCATGAGACTGAATTTATTCCTTTCATTTGGCTTAAGTGTTTTAAGGTGCTCGTTGTTGTTTGCGCCGTCGACGTTCCTGATAAGTAAGTTAATAATATCTGAACCCTTGCAATCTTGCTTATTCCGTAGCTCGCCATTCTGTCCATCCTGGTCGGATACATTGAATCCCTCATCGGCTATAATTTTTCCGAGGTCAGTAGATTGGTTAAGTTGCTGTCCACTCAGACTCTTGCAATTAACCTTCAACATAGTTAGTGAAACGTGAAGTATGCGAAATATGGTAAAGATTATTTTTGCGTACTTCCTTTGCTCTTTGTCAATCCATGTTCTTTCGGAGTACGCACTCACATAGCCATAACCAAGCTGCTGGGACATGGCCGTTAAACCCTTCTGCAACACTTTCAGCAGCACACTTGATGGTCTGGAATGCTTATCAGGTGACATGTTACCAACAATTTCCCTCAACGAATTTAGATTTGTGCGGAACGTATGATCGAATTGTTTGGACGTATATAGTCCGGAGAGCAACGTCCCAAGAGACGTCCATAAAGGTTGAACCACGGAATGCATTATTTTAAAATCATGTTGCTTATGTAATTCTTGCATGAGCTCGCTAAATTGATTAAGCAATAGATTGGCAAAATCTTGGAATTTGGTATTCGACTCACGTGGTTTAAATGATGCAATCATAGGGATAAACATTGTATTTAATTTCTGCGCGAACCCCTTTATGCCTCTGGTTTTATCCAGATGGATGATTTCATCCATACTCTGATTACGCTTTCTGATAAAGATATCCAAGTCCTCCAAATGCTTGGTGGTGGTATGAACATACCGGTCCAGAGCGTCTTTTTTTATGGCATCAATCTTCAATTTTACTTCTGATGTCACTTTTTCGTTAATTAGTCTTACACATGTCTCAACCTCGCTTTTGATTGTTGTGTTGCGGAATGCAGTGGCGGCAGTGATGATATGTTCCAGGGTAGTAGTCGCCGCGTCACCAATGACGGGGCTTCGGGCGTCGCCGATTACGTCAGTTGCAATTTCATTGCAGATTTGCTTGAGATCCTTGGTAAGCTGATATGGCACTACCGAATGACTTCCTTTATCAAGCATCGTATTCAACTCGTTGAGAAGGCTTTTGACTGCTTTATTGGTTGGATCGTTACCGGATATAATTTTGGAATCTTCAACCAGATCCTTAATAGCTTGTACAAAGGCTTTCAGTTGGGAGTTGACAGCTTCGAGGGCCGCTTTTAGAGTTTCAGTGCTCATATCTGTTTTGCCGTCTTTAGGATCTTTGAGGTCAAGATCCTTTTCCACCTCTGTTTCAATGGCGTCGATAGCTTCGATAAGTTCCTCTTTCTTGCTCTTGGGATTGGGGCCGACCCTGCCGCCAGTTGGTTTCGTGAAGGATGGCCTAAGGTGTATAAGTTGGACCTGACGTGGTTCACTATCCTTCGGCAGCTGTCCATTGAGTATACCCTCAATCGTTGCATTAACATTGTGGGTAAGCTGAACTTCCGGATTTGTTCCGGGAACGTAAGCTTCGCCGGTCCCCCCGAGCGCCGTGTCAAGCTGAGCAGATATATCATTAGCATTACCGTAAACCTCATCTACTTTACCCAATATACTTCTGTCTGCACCGGGTGGCTTGTGCTCAAGAGCTAACGAGTGTAGTTCGGCAGCTGCTCCTCTAGCCGCACCGACAAGCTGTTGGAGTGCGTAAGAGACGGCGCCCTTTAGATTATCATTCGAAGAACCGGTACCCCCAACCGCACTCTCAATCGTATTGGCTATTGAAGAGAGAAATGAATCTAATTCTCGATCCTGTAGTTTCTTCCCAAGCAGATCGGCAAAATTAGTGCAAACCTTTTGGACGTATTCCACATGTTTCTCAATCTTATCTCCTTCATTTGGAATATCAGTCCCAGAGGGCTGAATCTGGGCGCTGCCAATATCGTGCATAATTTGCGACGCAACATTCTCGGCAAGCTGTTTCATAATTCTTTGAGCGTTATCACCATCATATGGCGACTGCAGCATACCAAGACTATTGGTCACGGGATCCCTAACATACCAGTCAATATACGTTTTAACCGGTTTGCTCTTCACAACGTCTTCCACCCATACCTTCAATACAGTGCCACCAAAGGTTTTAAAATTTGTGGAATACTCCTTTACTCGCTCTTTTATTCCTTCCATACCCATGAAAAGGGGACCCTTGGTTCCCTTAATATGCCCAATCTTATTTTGAACCTTGCGAAGATACCCCTGGACATACCCTGAAATGCCCACCTCAATCTGCTCTTTAATCTTTCCTAAGTCCGTTTTCAATGTTGTTTCCAATTTTTCAGCGGCTGTAAGCGCCTTATCTACTTTGTCAACTAGCATACCTTTCGCCGCTTTTACTGAAGCTAAAAGCTTTTGCGCTTTTGCTCTCAATTCCTCGGCCGCCTGTTTAACAGACTCCTGACCACTGCTTAATTTCTCCAAAATAGTAGCACACTTCATCAAAGCCGCTTCCACAGCTTTTGTAGCTTTCTTGCTCCACCTGTCCAAATGTCTATGAACAGATTGCAAATTGGCCTTCACTGCGTGGATAGGGTTCCGGATATTACTGTCAAACGCTGCCATCAATTGTCGAATGCAGTCTTCTTGCTTACTTTTAGCAAGTTCCGTTACCTGTTTCTCAAGGTCTTTCAACTCCTCCTGCACCTTACTACCCAGACTATATAGCTCTTGCTGATCCCGACTTGCATTGTTTTCAAGATTCTTAATCTGTAATGCAATCTGTTCGAAATCACCCTTCAACTTGTTTCTCAGTTCGTAATCCAAGGCGTTAGTGGCGTTTCTAACCGCTTTTACATTTGCGTCTAACCCCTCCGTCACTGTGGTCAACCACAAGGCAACATTGCTCTCAAAGACACCTGTCTTCAACTGACCAACTGCTTTAATATTTCTCCCAATCGTATCTTTCAGCGCTTTTAACGTGCCATTATGTTCTCTTTCTTCACCTACAACAGCATTAATCTTCTTATTTAGAGAACCCTCATACCCCTGCAGCCCATCCCGAACAATCCCAATGGCCTGCGCAAATCCTGAAACACCAAGGCCCTTACCTATTTTACCTTCTAAATCCTTTATAGTCTGCGTAATATTAGGATAATAAAAGCTTAAAAGCGTTTGACTGCCTTTAAGACATTGAAGAATAAAAGACATCACCCCGTCGCACAGCCTATCAAGGTCCGAGTACACGATTCCTTCTCCGGTGTAATTACCATTATCGTAGCCGAGAAATTTTTCGAGGCCTCCACAAAGGCTTTTAAGAATTTCTGTGGAGGGATTTTCGTCAACAAGCTTTTTATTAATTTTATCAGCATATCCACAAAGCTCATTCAGTGTATCAAGAGACTTCTTGGAGGCTTCATGAGACTGCAGATCCTTATTAAGCTTGTCAATTTCAGAGGCATTTTGAGGAGTTTCATTGCGTTGTTTAGCATCTTTATCTGCTTTTTTAAGGCTCTCAATATCTTTATTAAGCTTCTCAATTTTCTCAGTAATTGCATCTTTAAGCTCTTTTAAGGGACCATCAAGACCATTTAACTTGCACTTAGAAAGGATTACAGTAAGATTTACAGGAGTATTTTGATCATCTTTAAGCTTATTTTTAAGTTTATTAAGCTTCTCATTAAGAGTGTTAATTTGATCACGATGATCATTACACCCCTTATCTCCGCAAGACGTTCCTAAAAGCCTAACAAGCTCATTTACATTGCTGTGCAAACCATTCAAAATTGCATTTTTTACATCTTCACTCCCACCAATAAATCCCGAAAGCTGTCCAGCAAGCGTACCAAGAGAGATACGGCGGGAATCAATATCATCCAAGGCTCTTTGTCTGGCATCCTCAGTAAGGTAATGAACTTCATTATAATGGTCATTGTAGTTGGATTAAGGGAGGATTAAGAGAGAGTTAGAAGAAGTAAAGGGGGATGAAATGGCACATTTTCAGGGCGATTTAAGGGAATTTGGGGAAGGGCGATTTTAGGTCAAGGAGGCAGTGAGGGAGGTGGGTGGACAGGGTGAGGGAGGTGAAGGGGCGAAAGAGGGCGATGAAGGAGGAAGATGGGATGAGAAAGGCGATAAAGAGGAGAAAAAAGAGAATTCGTGAAGGACCGACGGAAGAAATGATGGGAAAGGAAGGAAGGAGCAGTGAACCAATGGAAGTGATGATGGTAAATGATGGTTGAATGTGAGAGTGAGTGAATGAATGGGTAAGTGGTGGATGAATATATAGCGGTTGGCAATGCGGTGATGAGTGAGTAAGTAAGTAAGTGCGTGAGTGAGTGAGTGAATGAGTGATTAGTTGAGTGGCGGTTGAGTGAGTAGTATATGCGATAGCGATGGAAATGCGTGATGAGTGGTTGATGCGTAAGTGGGTGAATGTTTGAGTGGTGATAGATGGGTGATGGTGAATGGTTGAGTGGGGTGATGGGAGTGAGTAGTTGGTGAATGGTTAATGGGTGGGTGGTTGAATGGTTGATGGTGAGTGAGTGAGTTTGATGCAGGTGAGTGGGTGAGTGGTTGAGTGGTTGAGTGTGTGAGTGAGTGGCTGAGTGGCTGAGTGGGTGAGTGAGTGAGTGGGTGGGTGGGTGAGTGGTTGAGTGGTTGAGTGAGTGGGTGGGTGGTTGAGTGGGTGAGTGGTTGAGTGGGTGAGTGAGTGGGTGGTTGAGTGAGTGAGTGGGTGAGCATGTGAGTGAGCGGTACACAGATCACACGTGAAGGCACGATTATGGTGAGAAGTACTTGACGTTGGCGAGTGCCCTGACGCGTGCGGCGGCGAGGAGGGACTGTGCGGCGATGCGGTGGCTTGAAGGCGAGCGCAGGTGTGAGCGTATCCTCAGGACGTCGAGGCGGACGACGGCGATGTGCAGCAGGTACAGGAGCGACAGCGACCAGAGGGCTAACAACGTTAGCATAAATGGCCATCTGATCTCTTTCAGGAAATTGGGTATTATTTCATGGACTATGTTATGTAAAGCGTTCTTTTCACTTAAAATGAATTCCAATGTATTGCAAAAATCCCTACATGTTCTCTTCTTATCTGTTTCATACATACCACTCAGGTCGGAAGCGCTTTCGAAATAAAATCCATACTTCGAGAATGTCGGTAATGTAAATTTACACTCCACAATTGAATGGCATGATTCATCATGCTTGGAATTTGAAGACGACTGCGGCTTTTTCGAATTACATATATCATAGCACATGCTCATTTTACATTTGGACCCTTTAGATTCGCAATTGCGATTGCACTCATTCCACAATTCTCGCAACAAATCGTAGAATCTGTCTGTACCATACACAAGCCATGAAAGATATAGATTCTTATTCGACGCGGAGAATATAGAATACACGTCACGAGAAATGGACTGTATGTATGTGCCGCATGGATGCGGTGATTTTGTATTAGCATGGCATCTCACAAGAGAGAACAAATCACCGCTGCGATGAGTAGACTGATTGGCCCTGTGAATGACCGAAGATAATTTTGGACTGACGTCAAGGACAATTGGGCGATCGAAGTTGGCTCCATTAGCGGCGGCGCCAAATGCTTCCTCCCTGTGCTGTGTACGCAGCTTTTGCTGACCATCATTCCAGCCGTCAAGGAATTGATAGTAGAACCCAAACATGTCTCCCAGCGTTTGAGGGGCACTGGGAAGCAGACTATTCAAGAGGCTGCAAATCTTAGTGAGTGGAGAAGACTGATGGCCACAGAAGTCGGCAAGAATATCGACGATATATTGACCTCTCCGCCTGTGCGATGCCATGGTGGAAATATCTGTGAATCCCATAGGCGTCTTACATGGTGTAGGAGGCGACGTCCTGGGACAGTTGGAACACGTGAGGTCAGACCCTTTAACTGTCATATTGTGAGGCAAGAAGCCTTGTAGGCCGTCCTCCAAGAAAGATTGGAGTGGTGATTTGAGGCCGCACTTAGGGTGTTGGTCGCACTTTTGGTCACAGCGTTGCTTATGTGTTTGGTCAGCGTTTTGGTTACACGTTTGGTCAGAGCATTGGAGGCTATTACACTGCCAGTTGGATCCTCCGACGTCCCTGCCATACCAGCAGTCCCTCCAGCCGCTAAGGTCAGACTCATAAGAGCAGAGCTGGTAGAGGAACTGGAGCTGTTGGTACAGTCGTTTGAGGGTACTGAATAACATACAGAGCAATTGTACGATGTCAGTAGGATATAAGAGATTAAATGAATTGTTCGAGAAGTTGCAAGCATATATGCCGCCGGCGTGGCCGTTACCGAGGATGGAGGTGAGCACGGCATGTGAGTGGTGACATACATCGTGAAGTGCGGGTTTTAAGTCATCGTACATTATGGTGTTTGGATACGCGTCTTGCTTCAGTTGTTCATTGGGAATGTTGGAATATTCTTCATTCTCCATACCTTTGGGCTTCTTGAAAAGTCCTCTGAAGTAATCGCACAGCGGTTCACGCACCGGATTGTACCACAACCCGTTGAGCCAAGAAAGCATCTGGAGAATATTTGTCGGTGGTTTAGGTGAAGAATGATGTTCTAAGTGACAGGCGCTATAATATTCACCGAGGTGTCTGTGAAGGCTTTTAAGTGGGCCGTGGTCGTCGGAGTGTTTTATACCAGTGTAGACTTTACCGGAGCCCACGAGGAGATCAATGATATTCACTCCCTTCATACGCTCTTTGTTCCGCAATTCAGCATTCTGCTTGCCTTTGTCGGAGACCCTGAAACCATTGTTAGCAAGGAAATCCCCAAGTGATGATGACTTATTAATGTTATCTCCAATCCACCCATGCTGGCAATTCCTCCTCAATATGTTCAACTCATTGTGTAGAGTGGAAATTACAGTCAGAGTTATGTCACTGTAATTAGCGCTGAATGCAGGCTCCCAAGGCCGGCCGGAGTAGGAATTTACATAGGCGTAACCCAGTTGCGTGGCCAGGGCATTGAGCCCATCTTTCAAGGCATCAAGCAGTATGGAACACGGTTTAGAGAATCTCTTAGGTTCGAAGTTATGAAGTGCGTTATTCAGATTATCTAAGTTTGTGTTGAAAGTGTGATTGAAGTGTCCGGAGGCATGAAGGTCGGAGAGCAATGTATCAATGGGAGGATACAGCAAAGATTCATATTGCGTGAATTCTGTCTGGTAATGTAACGAATCGAAAAATTCGTGAAGCCATTCGTTGATGTGTTTTGCAAATTCGGATAGCGTTGAAGGATTTAACATGGGTGTGTGACTTGATAACGTGCGTCTTAACTTATCCAGCAATCCCTTCACACCGCGCGCGGAATCAATGCCAATTGCGTTGCTCATTTTTTCTCTTTGTTGCATCACATACCCCTTTAACCTTCTCATGTCTTCAGTCGTGGCCTCAACGTATCTGTCAAATGCGTCTTTTTTCAAGGCTTTAATCTTGTCGTGGACCTCTTGTCTGACCTTTTGATTTATCTTTTCGACACAGTTTTCGACAGTAGTCTTTATGGTTTTCTCGTAGAACTCTTGGGCTTGGGTGACGATTTCCTTCAGGTTACCTTGTGGATTTCCTGGATAGGGTTCACCAAGGATCAAAGCAATTTCGTGTCTGATTTTTGCGAGATCTTTATCTATGCCGTAATATTTTTTGCCGTCATCCATAAGCATGGCTTTTAGGTTTTTTAAGTAATAAGACAAATCGTTTCCTTCGGTCATACCGCTACTCTGAATGAGCTCCTTCACTGCATCTGCGAATTTAAGAAGTGTGTCGTCGACATTTTCAAGGGCTTTTGTAAGGTGAGTATCCTTCATTAGTTCTTCTTTCTCAGTGTCATTCGCATCAAGATTTCTTTTCACATTTTGTAGAATCTCGCCGATCTCCTTTTCAAGGGCTTCTTTCTTGCCTGATCTGCCATTACCGCCAACGTAACCCGCAAACAATTTAGATCCTTCAATATCTACCTCACCACCTGAAGTACCACTCAGGTTTGGAAGCTTTCCATTCAGTACGCTAAGAATGGTATTATCAACTTTCTCCTTGAATATAACACTGCCACCGGTGCCGGCGCCTTGGCCGGCAGTATCTTCACCCAGCCCAGTCTTTAGATCATCCTCTAAGTTTTGAGCCGCTCCTAAAGCTTCGTGTAAGTTCTTGCCTATTTTGATTTCATGGTCTTCGATCCCGGCGAATGATGCAACCTCGTTACCAGCTTGTCTAGCAGCGCCAATGAGTTCGCTGAGCATGGGTTGTACGGCGTAAGTGAGCTGAACCGCAGCAATAAATGGATCGGAAGCAGTAGACGGACTATTTAACGTCCTTTTAATAGCTTCCGCAATTTCTGTTGTTTTACTTTCCTTCATTTTGGTCGCAAGCTTGCTTGCAAATGCCATGCAAGCAGCATTGACAGCAACAACATGCTTCTCGATCTTGCTGTCATCACCACCTGTGATCGTTGCGTTATACGCTCCAACCGCTGCACCAATTTCTTCATTGAATGCAGCCGTAATTGCCTTTGCAACTTCACCAATGTTGTCTCCCTTTATGAAGATTGTTGTCAACACTGCATCCGTACCTTTATTAACGTAGCTTCCCAGCGCCGCTATAACTGGCACACTCGTCAGAATATTTGTCAACCAATGCTCTACTATGTCCCTGAAACCCTTTTCCGCTTTGAACTTCTCAGCATACTCCTCCACTATTCGCTTCTTAATCCCCTTGAGACCATCGCCATCTTTTACTCCCTTGATACTACTAACCTTCGTCTTAATTTTTGTGAGGATCTGGTTCCTAACATAATCTGACACCGCAGTATTAATGTTAATTTTGACCTCATTCAGATCCCCCTTGAGTGCTTTGTCCATAGTTTTGACTGCCTGCAGCGCCACTTGAACGTTGGATTCTAACGTCTTCCTCGCCCCCTCTACAGCCTTCAAGAGTGTGTCCGCTTTCTCCTTCAAGGCTTTTGCAGCATTCTCCACGTTGTACCATTTTTGTGGTTTACTTTTCTTCTCACCTTTTACTTTAACGTGTGCTAATATTTCTTCTACCTTCTTCAACGCCGCAGCCACGACACTGTTAGCCTTCTTACTCCACTGCTCCAAATTCTGCTGAACAGATTTCAACGCCGTCTGAACGTTGCCAATCGGCGTCTTAATTTTCGTTTCAAAAGCACTCCGCAACTCATCAATACAAATTGATTTCTGTGTTTCGGCATATGCAATCACCTTGCTTCTGAGGTCTGCCAATTCCCGCTCAACGCTCTTCCCCAAAGCTCTCATCTCCTCCTGGTCCCGCTCCGCGTTCCCTGCAAAATCATGAATCCGTACCTGAATCTTGTCGAAATCTGTCTTCAGTTTTGCCTGCAACGGATTATCAAGTTTCTCAATCGCCAATCTGGCGTCTCTCAACGTACCCTCAAGGGCACCCACCACCGCAGTCCTCCACTGCTTCGCCGCCACATCAAAATCATGCAATTCACCAACACTACTAATATTAGAATCTATGTTTGTGCTAAGTGTCTCTAAGTGCCTGGTAACACTCTTGGTTCGCCCTTCGAGCTCACCGCTCCACGCCTGCAGCGCCTCGGAGACCTGTGTGATGGCTGTCTGAAAATTATGAGAACCATTATGCATAAACTTACTGATTGAAAAAGGAAGATTCTTGATATCATTATTTTTATCATATTTCGTAACGGCATCATCATCCTTAACACTCTCAAGAACTCCACCCAAAAACGCCATCACCCCGTCGCAGAGCCTGTCAAGGTCCGAGTACACAATGCCGGAGCCGGTGTAATTACCATCCTGGTAGCCGAGAAATTTTTCGAGGCCTGTGCAGAGGTTATTTAATAATGTTGTTGAAGGATTATTTTAGGCACATTTTGAGGGCGATTTGGGGGAATTTGGAGAAAGGCGATTTTAGGTCAAGGAGGTAAGGGAGTGAGGGAGGTGGGTGGACAGGGCGAGGGAGGTGAAGGGGCGAAAGAGGGCGATGAGGGAGGAAGATGGGTTGAGAGAGGCGATTATGGAGGTGGAGTGGAAAGGTCGAAAATGAGGATTTGGGGGAAGGACGCCGACGGAGGAGGTGATGGAGGGGTTAAGACAGGGAGCGAAGCGACCAGTGAAGGAGGAGGTGAGTGGGTGAGTAGGTGAGTGAGTGGGTGAGTGGTTGGGTGAGTGAGTGGGTGGTTGGGTGAGTGAGTGGGTGGTTGAGTGAGTGAGTATGTGAGTGGTTGAGTGGGTGAGTGGGTGAGTGAGTGGTTGAGTGGGTGAGTGGGTGAGTGTTTGAGTGGGTGATTAGGTGGGTGAGTGGGTGAGTGGTTGAGTGGGTGAGTGGTTGAGTGGGTGAGTGAGTGGTTGGGTGAGAATGTGGTTGAGTGGGTGGGTGGTTGAGTGGTTGAGTGGTTGAGTGAGTGAGTGGTTGAGTGGGTGGGTGAGTGGGTGAGTGGTTGAGTGGTTGAGTGTGTGAGTGAGTGGCTGAGTGGCTGAGTGGGTGAGTGAGTGAGTGGGTGGGTGGGTGAGTGGTTGAGTGGTTGAGTGAGTGGGTGGGTGGTTGAGTGGGTGAGTGGTTGAGTGGGTGAGTGAGTGGGTGGTTGAGTGAGTGAGTGGGTGAGCATGTGAGTGAGCGGTACACAGATCACACGTGAAGGCACGATTATGGTGAGAAGTACTTGACGTTGGCGAGTGCCCTGACGCGTGCGGCGGCGAGGAGGGACTGTGCGGCGATGCGGTGGCTTGAAGGCGAGCGCAGGTGTGAGCGTATCCTCAGGACGTCGAGGCGGACGACGGCGATGTGCAGCAGGTACAGGAGCGACAGCGACCAGAGGGCTAACAACAGGTATGAGAAGGGTGTGCGAATTGCCCATAAGAAATCTGGGATTGTCCGGTAAATTAATTTTGCGAGGGCATGTCCTCGTTTTTCTTCTTTGTTGAGAGCTCTCTTTAATGCGTAACATAAGTCACGACATGTGCGTCGAGTTTCATGGTTATCCTTTTCACTAAGGTTTGTTAAGCTGTTCAATGCGAATCCATATTTGTACAGTGTTGGCCTAGTGAATGGGCACTGAGCTATGGATGAGCAGTCTTCAGTATGCTTTTGATCTGTCAGTTGCTTGGACGTGTCTGTAGATTCGTAATTATTTTTTACTTGGCACGCTTTGACGCAGCATTTCTCAAAGCATCTAGTTCCCTGCTTGTTGCACTTTACACAGCATTCATTATACAATTGCTCAAGCAAACTGTAAAACGTTTCAGTAAGATATACTATCCACGACAGGTAACGGCCGGCATTTCTTTGAGAAAAGGACGTCCACAGGTATAAGCCGAATGGCTGCATAAACCGGCCACAGGTAGTCGTTGTCGGTGACGTTGACGAATTATCGCAAATATAAAGGCTAAACAAATCACCTTTCATATGTTCGCCTTTAGAGTGATGGCTGTTGTTAAATACTGGACTAATGTCCAACTGTGGATAGGACTCACCGAAATATGCCTTCGTGACGGCCTTTTCGAATGCTTCACTTTTATGCTTATTGTCATTGTTTCCCCAGCCACGAATATAACACAGGTAAAACGAAAAAAAGTCATCTAACGTTTGCGGTGGCCGTTGTAATAGGCACATTAAGTTGCTGCACAGAGTGCTCAGCGGAGAAGATTTATTTCCGCAGAAGACGTCAAGCACATCACTAATGCGCTTGCCATTGGACATACGGGATGCCGTTACGCTGATATCAGCAAATCCCATTGGCGTTTTACAAGGCAATCCCCTGTGGTTAGAGAGGGTACATGTAAGCTTACAGCCGGGAGAGGTGAATTGGTGCGGCAAAAAGCCAGGGAGACCATCCTCAAGGAACGATTGAAGTGGCGATTTGACGCCGCACTTTACATGTTGGTTGCCCTCTTGGTTGTGCTTTTGGTCACATGTTTGCTCAGGACATTGACTGTCATTGCACTTCCAACCGGACCCACCAACGTGCCTACCGTACCAGCAATCACGCCAACTAACGTTACTATTTGCACGTAGACACTGAATAAATACGAAGTGTAACTGCTGATATACTCTCATCAATATATCAAATAACATGTCAAAACATGAAGCAGGGCTACCAGGATACATTAATTGCGATGAGTTTGTATAAAAATCTACTGCATAGTTGCCATCAGGATGGCCGTGGCCCAGGATTGCAGCGAGAACATAGTATGATTGGTGACATACTTCTGCAAGCATTGGCTTCAAGTCTGCACATTGGATGTCAATGGTGGCCGGGTATTTTAGCTCCTTCGCGGGGATCTCCTTGTAATCTCTCTCGTCTCCATCAGGTTTAGGGAACAACGTCTTAAACTGCGATTCCAGTTGCTTATACATTGGATTATAGTATAATCCATTGAGCCACTGGAGCATATCTTTCACGCTGCTCGGCGCTCTGGGTTTTGGAAGAATTTCATGGTGACACACACGGTAGTAGCTGTCGAGGTAGTAATGAAGCGTCCTAAGTGGGCGAGTATCTTCCTTGGGATCATCGGACTCGAAGAGCTGTTTTGCACGCTGATTGCTGTGGACGAGAAGACCATGAATTTTCCTACCGTCCACCTTGTTGGCTAACTCCCCGTTCTGCTTGGCCTCCAGTTCCGACACTCCGAAGCCGCGGTCAGCCAACCAGGCGCCCAGGGCATTTTCGGTTTTCTTGTTATTTTCGTAAACATAAACTTGTGTTTTTGTCCAATCGCTTTGGGGATGCGGGTCGCATTTCTTACGCAGATCATTCAGGTCATGTAATAGTGTTTCAATTAGTGTGAGTAACACCTTAGATAAGTTTCTGCCCTCATCGGATAAATCCTTATTAGTGTTTACTAAATTTGTGAAATCAATTGGTGGATGCCCCTCGTACGTATTCACGTACGCCTTGCCAATCTCCCCGAGGAAATCCTGGAGTCCTGACTTGAGGATGTCTAGTAGGGGATTGTCGTGCTCGGCGAACTTTGTAGGACGCATTGAGTGGAGGAAGTTGGTGAAATCGTCACGATTAGTGGCAGATTGATTGCTGAAACGGCCCATGGAAAGCGTACCGAAGAGTCTGTCGACATGAAGCTTGAGGTCCTCGAAGAACTTCCCAAGGGGATTCTTGGTGGACGGGGAGGGGGATGGCTGGCTGGTGGGAGGGGATGGAGTTGGAGATGTGATTTTAGGTGCCACTCCTACACGGCCTGCTGGTACCTCATCAGTGTTATTTTTAGGATTGACTGTCTTCGTTTCCGGCCGCGCTCTGTAACCGCCGCCGGAGATTGGAGGTGGGAGTGGAGTGGTAGGGGTTGGGGGCTTGGTGTCTGGAAGGAGTTGGTATTTAATGTACTCCGTGACATAATCCATGTACCATTTCGTCGTCGTCGATGCCTTTGTAAATTCCTCTAAACGTGGAACTTCGGAAAGCGTTGGATGGTGAATTTGCATTCTTGACAGCAGGCCCTTGATTCCAGACGCCTTGTCTTCGTCGATGATCTTGTTAATCTTTTTGTATTGGCGTTCGACGAGTTTGTGCAGCGCGGAGAGGTCGGCGAGTTTTTGGTTGGTGAAGAGTTTTCGAACGGCGAAAATGATATCATTCATAGCATTTTCTGTAGTGTAGAGAAGTATTGATTTGACAGTTTCGATCGATTGCGTTGACGTTTCTCTAGCACTATACAGTGTGTTAGTAACGTCTTTTATAGCGGTATCCAAGGCTTCGTCAGCTTTCCTATAGGCATCCTTGATCATTCCAATGCTCCCTTGTATGCCTTGGATTTTCCTTTCCAACTCACCAATTTTATCTTCAGCTGCCTTCCTTTTTGTTTCCACCAAGAGGGGAAGCATTTCGAGCTCGTCGGTGATAATGGTCTCCATTTGTCCTCTGGCGGCGTTGTACTTAGGTTTATTAATAGTATAGTGGTCAAGTTGATCAAGTTTAATTTGATTCGAATGGTTGTGAAAATTCTGAGTAAACTTGTCTCCCATTTTATTTACTGAATTGCATATTTCATCGCCGACATCAACTGTTAAATTACTCAGACAGCTTACTTTCGGTTCAGTTGTTATAGGTTTGAGCTTTGAGTCTATTTCAACCTTCAGAATTCCGGTTGACGTGTTTAATATTTGCTCAAGCTCATCAATATTCGGTTTCACGTCTTTCAATGCCTTGGTAATATATCCCCCGAAATCGTTATCATCGGCCAGTTTAGACGCTATATTCATAATGTTCTGGATAGTGTCCGACACTTTTGTTCGAATCTTGGAGGCAGCGGAAAATGAATCAAGCTCATTGCCAGCCTGCCTGGCGGCACCGAGAAGTTGATAGAGAATCATTTTGACTGCGGCTGTAAGATGCCCAGTGTTAGGGCCTTTGGTAACGCTTCTTAAGTAATTCTTGGCGCTAACAATCGCCGCAACAATGCCGCCGGTTTCATCTTTATTAATTCTCTCCTCAATCTGAGAGGCTAACTTAGTGAGACAGGATTTTACAGCTTCCACGTTTTTACTGATGGTCTTCTCAACTTTTAGGCCTTTTGTCGCTACAACAATGTCACTGTCAAGCGCTTCAGCAATTTGTTTCGCTAGTCCCTTTACACCTTCCACTCCATTTGTAAATATGTTCTCCACACTGGCACTGTTCTCATCAACAGACCAACCAATGTACTTCTTTACAGCTTGACTCTTCAAAATCTCAGCAATCCACCCTGGCAAAACCTTCTCCTTAAGGCCTTTCCCGATGTAATCATTGGTATAATCCTGTATGCCTTTCACGATTTCACCAAGTGAACCCGGAGCTTGAGATGGACCAAGAATTTTGTTAAGCGTTCCTGTAATGCCCTTCGCAAGATTATCCCAATTCTTTCCTATTATGCCGTCTTCCTTTTTATCACCAACCTGATATTTAATCTGAATTAACGCATCCTCAGCCTCTCCAACCCACTTAGTAAGCCCCTCCATTGCCGCTTGTACTAGGTGTTCAATTGTTTTGTACGCCGACCTGACCTGTTCATTTGTTTGCCTTATAATTTTTTCACGCGTTTCATTCGCTAATGAAATTTTATCTCTCACATCTTTGCACAGCTCTTTTAATTTGTCCATATAGGCTTTCTCGATCATTGTTACGGCCATGCCTGCCTCATTAAATTGTTGCTTGATCAGGGATTTATGGTCCCGGCTGGGTGGATCTTTAGGATTAATAGACTTCATCTTACCATATAACTCATTGAACAACTTTTTAATTTCAAACTTATAATTATGATGAAAACTATCTAACAATCTCTGTGCTTTATCGTAGGCCCCCGAAACCGAATTATTCAAAAGATGAAGGTTATCCTTTTTAACCTTTTTCATCTCACCGAATGTCATTTCGATGGCATTAAACTCTTTGCTCAAATTCTGTTGTAGCGTTATACATTCACTTGCAATAGTTTTTACAAGATGATCCTTCCGCTCTTCCAGCGTCCTGTCCACCTCCTTCACCTGCGCCACAAACCCCTTTTCGACTGTAGCTTCCTGCAGCATTCTGACAGCGGCCTTAATAGGCCTTGTCTCATTCTTAATCTTATCACGTAATGTAATATCTAACAGATTAACATTATTAAGTATGTTACTATCAAAGTGCGTGTCTATGTCGTGGAGTGTCTCCTTCCACTTCCTCAGCTGCTCCTGCAGCTTGTCCCCCGATCGTCCCGCAACTTCCTTGTAGTAATCACCTGTAGAAGATGAATCTACACTATTCAACTTACCTATAAGTGTAGATAATCCATCGGTCACTGCTCTTGTCTTCTTTTCAACTTCCTCATTATATTTCCCCAACCACTCCCTCACACTGGCGACAGACGCCGAAAGGCCAATACGCCCGGAGCCAATGTTATCATGCAAGTTAGCAAGAACATTATTAATGTCATTTTGTGTAGTATTATATGTCTTCACACTCTCATCCTCCTTCACACTCTCAAGAACACCATGAAGGAAAGACATCACCCCGTCGCACAGCCTGTCAAGGTCGGAGTACACGATGCCGGAGCCATCGTAGCCTTTGGAAGTTTCTTGGTAACCAAGGAACTTTTCTAAGCTAGAGCACAGGTTATTTAAAAGGTTTTTACAGTTATCACTTTGTTGTTTATTAAGTGAACTCAAGGAGTCATTAAGCTTACTCAGCTTCTCAAGAGACTCCAACTTGGACTGATGAGAGGATAAAAGGCGAGAATCTTCAGAGGAGAGGGGAGAAATTTTGTTATTTTGTCTATCTTCAAGAGGCTTTTTAAGGTGATTAAAACGCTGAATTTTCTCATCAAGCTCAACAGACTTTATAGGCTCAGCAGACACGGGAGCGGAAGGCTGCCCAGTCGAAGACGAAGGATTTTTAAGGCTTTTGAAGTCATTATCACTGTTAATAATGATGTTAATGCCATCATTAATTGCTTTAGTAACAGCCTTCTCAGGGCCAATAAACTTCCCAAGTTGTCCACTGAGCTCAGCAAGAGACACCATCCTGGAGTGGATGTCCTTAAGCTGGGCAGTCCTGTCAGACTCAGAAAGGGAATGATACTTGGCAATATGATCTTTTAATTGGGATTTAAGGTCGGCAATTTTAGAGTCATTTTGTGAGTTATCAGTGGATTTATCAGAATTTTTAAGCAAGTCAATTTGCTCGTCAAGAGACTGACAGTGGGACTTAGGAGAGTTATCAAAGGAGTGATGTCCGAGACAATTAAGGTGAGAGAAGAAAGTGGAAAGAAAGTTAAAAGGCGGTTAGAGGAGGTGGAAAGGGACGCTTTTGGAGAATTTTAGAATTTTTTGAGAAAGGCGATTTTAGGTCAAGGAGGCAGCGAGGGAGCGAGGGAGTGGGTGGACAAGACGAGGGAGGTGAGGGGGCGAGAGAGGGCGATGAAGGAGGAATATGGGTGGAGGTAAGGCGGTTTTGGGGGTGGAGGGAGAAGGTGGAAATTAAGTATTTTGGGTGAAGGACGCCGACGGAGGAGGTGAGGGAGGGGTGATGGGAGAGGGAGCGACAGCGACCAGTGAAGAAGGGAGGTGAGTGGGTGGTTGATTAGGTGATTAGGTGGTTGAGTGGTTGAGTGGTTGATTAGGTGAGTGGTTGAGTGGGTGAGTTGGTGGTTGAGTGGGTGAGTGAGTGAGTGTGTGAGTGGGTGAGTGGGTGAGTATGTGAGTGGGTGGGTGAGTGGGTGGTTGAGTAGGTGAGTGAGTGAGTGAGTGAGTGAGTGGTTGAGTGGTTGGGTGAGTGAGTGGGTGAGTGAGTGGTTGAGTGGTTGGGTGAGTGGTTGGGTGGGTGGTTGAGTGAGTGGTTGAGTGGGTGGTTGAGTAGTTGAGTGGTTGAGTGGTTGAGTGGGTGGTTGAGTGGGTGAGTTGGTGAGTGAGTGAGTGGGTGAGTGAGTGGTTGAGTGGGTGGTTGAGTGGGTGAGTTGGTGAGTGAGTGAGTGGGTGAGTGAGTGAGTTGGTGGGTGAGTTGGTGGTTGAGTGGGTGAGTAGGTGAGTGAGTGAGTTGGTGAGTGAGTGGGTGAGTGGGTGAGTGAGTGAGTGGGTGAGTGAGTGAGTGGGTGAGTGAGTGGGTGAGTAGGTGAGTGAGTGGGTGAGTGGTTGAGTGGTTGAGTGGTTGAGTGGGTGTTGAGTGGGTGAGTGGGTGGTGAGTATGTGAGTGGGTGAGTGGTTGAGTGAGTGGGTGGGTGGGTGGGTGAGTGGTTGAGTGGTTGAGTGAGTGGTTAAGTGGTTGAGTGGGTGGTTGAGTAGGTGAGTGAGTGAGTGAGTGAGTGAGTGGTTGAGTGGTTGGGTGAGTGAGTGGGTGAGTGAGTGGTTGAGTGGTTGGGTGAGTGGTTGGGTGGGTGGTTGAGTGAGTGGTTGAGTGGGTGGTTGAGTAGTTGAGTGGTTGAGTGGTTGAGTGGGTGGTTGAGTGGGTGAGTTGGTGAGTGAGTGAGTGGGTGAGTGAGTGGTTGAGTGGGTGGTTGAGTGGGTGAGTTGGTGAGTGAGTGAGTGGGTGAGTGAGTGAGTTGGTGGGTGAGTTGGTGGTTGAGTGGGTGAGTAGGTGAGTGAGTGGCTGAGTGGGTGGTTGAGTGGGTGGTTGAGTGGGTGAGTGGGTGAGTGGGTGGGTGGTTGAGTGGTTGAGTGAGTGAGTGGGTGAGTGATTAGGTGAGTGAGTGGGTGAGTGGGTGGGTGAGTGGGTGGGTGAGTGGTTGGGTGAGTGATACACAGATCACACGTGAAGGCACGATTATGGTGAGAAGTACTTGACGTTGGCGACTGCCTTGACGCGTGCGGCGGCGAGGAGCGACTGCGCGGCGATCCTGTTGCTTGAAGGTGAGCGCAGGTGGGAGCGTATCCTCAGGACGTCGAGGCGGACGACGGCGATGTGCAGCAGGTACAGGAGCGACAGCGACCAGAGGGCTAACAAGAGGAAAGTGAAGAAGTTGATATATGTTGAAGGACTATTTTATGCACATTTTCAGGGTGATTTGGGGGAATTTGGAGAAAGGCGATTTTAGGTCGAGGAGGCAGTGAGGCAGCGAGGGAGGTGGGTGGACAGGGTGAGGGAAGTGAAGGGGCCAAAGAGGGCGATGAGGGAGGGAGATGGGTTGAGGTAAGGCGATTTCGGAGGTGGAGGGGAAAGGTGGAAAATGAGGTTATGGGTGAAGGACGCCGACGGAGGAGGTGATGGAGGGGGTGAGGGAGGCAGGGAGCGAAGCGACCAGTGAAGGAGGTGAGTGGTTGAGTGGTTGAGTGGGTAAGTGAGTAGGTGGTTGAGTAAGTGAGTGGGTGAGTGGGTGGTTGAGTGAGTGAGTGGTTGAGTGAGTGAGTGGTTGAGTGAGTGATTATGTGAGTGAGTGGTTGAGTAGTTGAGTGGGTGGGTGGTTGAGTGGTTGAGTGGTTGAGTAAGTGAGTGGGTGAGTATGTGGTTGAGTGGTTGAGTGGGTGGTTGAGTGAGTGAGTGAGTGGGTGGTTGAGTGGGTGAGTGGTTGAGTGGGTGGTTGAGTGGTTGAGTGGTTGAGTGGTTGAGTGAGTATGTGGGTGAGTGGTTGAGTGAGTGAGTATGTGAGTGGGTGGTTGAGTGGTTGAGTGGGTGGTTGAGTGGGTGAGTGGTTGAGTGGGTGGTTGAGTGGTTGGTTGAGTGGGTGAGTGAGTGGGTGGTTGAGTGAGTGGGTGAGTGAGTGAAGGCACGATTATGGTGAGAAGTACTTGACGTTGGCAATTTTCCCAACCTTTGCAACGGCGAGGAGGGACTGCGCGGCGATGCGGTGGCTTGAAGGTGATTTTAAGTGGGAGCGGATGCGGAGGACGTCGAGGCGGACGACGGCGATGTGCAGCAGGTACAGGAGCGACAGCGACCAGAGGGCTAATAAGAGGTAGGAGAAGAAGTTGAGAAATGTTGAAGGATTAATTTAGGCACATTTTTAGGGCGATTTGGGGGAATTTGGGGAAAGCCGATTTTAGGTGGAGGAGGCAGTGAGGCAGCGAGGGAGGTGGGTGGACAAGGCGAGGGAGGTGAGGGGGCGAAAGAGGGCGATGAAGGGGGAAGATGGGTAGAGGTAAGGCGGTTTTAGGGGTGGAGGGAGGAAGGTGGAAAATGAGGATTTTGGGCGAAGGACGCCGACGGAGGAGGTGATGGAAGAAGGGAGAGGGAGCGAAGCGACCAGTGAAGGAGGAGGTGATTGAGTGGGTGAGTGGGTGAGTGGGTGGGTGAGTGGGTGGTTGAGTGGTTGAGTGGGTGGGTGGGTGGTTGAGTGGTTGAGTGGGTGGTTGAGTGGGTGGGTGAGTGAGTAGGTGAGTGGGTGGGTGAGTAGGTGAGTGGTTGAGTGAGTAGGTGAGTGGTTGAGTGAGTAGGTGAGTGGGTGGGTGGTTGAGTGGTTGAGTGAGTGGGTGGTTGAGTGGTTGAGTGGTTGAGTGGTTGAGTGGGTGAGTGAGTGGGTGAGTGGGTGAGTGGGTGAGTGGGTGAGTGAGTGAGTGGTTGAGTGGGTGGGTGAGTGGGTGGTTGAGTGGGTGAGTGGGTGAGTGGTTGAGTGGTTGAGTGAGTGGGTGGGTGAGTGGGTGGTTGAGTGAGTGGGTGGGTGAGTGGGTGAGTGGTTGAGTGGGTGAGTGAGTATGTGGTTGAGTGGTTGAGTGGGTGAGTGAGTGGGTGGTTGAGTGGTTGAGTGGGTGGTTGAGTGGGTGGTTGAGTGAGTGGGTGGGTGAGTGGGTGGGTGAGTGGGTGGTTGAGTGGGTGAGTAGGTGGGTGGGTGGGTGAGTGGTTGAGTGGGTGGGTGAGTGATTAGGTGAGTGAGTGAGTGAGTGGTTGAGTGGGTGGTTGAGTGAGTGAGTGAGTGGGTGGTTGAGTGGGTGAGTGGTTGAGTGGGTGGTTGAGTGGTTGAGTGGTTGAGTGGTTGAGTGAGTATGTGGGTGAGTGGTTGAGTGAGTGAGTATGTGAGTGGGTGGTTGAGTGGTTGAGTGAGTGGTTGAGTAGTTGAGTGGGTGGGTGGTTGAGTGGTTGAGTGGTTGAGTAAGTGAGTGGGTGAGTATGTGGTTGAGTGGTTGAGTGGGTGGTTGAGTGAGTGGGTGAGTGAGTGGTTGAGTGGTTGAGTGAGTTGGTGGGTGGTTGAGTGAGTAGGTGTGTGAGTGAGTGAGTCTGTGAGTGGGTGGTTGAGTGAGTGAGTGAGTGGTTGAGTGGTTGAGTGGTTGAGTGAGTGATTAGGTGGTTGGGTGGGTGAGTGGTTTAGTATGTGAGTGAGTGAGTGGTTGAGTGAGTGAGTTGGTGAGTGAGTGGTTGAGTGGGTGGTTGGGTGGGTGGGTGGTTTAGTATGTGAGTGAGTGAGTGGTTGAGTGAGTGGGTGAGTGAGTGGTTGAGTGGTTGAGTGAGTGAGTGAGTGGTTGAGTGGTTGAGTGGTTGAGTGAGTGATTAGGTGGTTGGGTGGGTGGGTGGTTGAGTGAGTGGGTGAGTGAGTGGTTGAGTGGTTGAGTGAGTTGGTGGGTGGTTGAGTGAGTAGGTGTGTGAGTGAGTGAGTCTGTGAGTGGGTGGTTGAGTGAGTGGGTGAGTGAGTGGTTGAGTGGTTGAGTGAGTTGGTGGGTGGTTGAGTGAGTAGGTGTGTGAGTGAGTGAGTCTGTGAGTGGGTGGTTGAGTGAGTGGGTGATTAGGTGGGTGAGTGAGTGGGTGGTTGAGTGGGTGAGTGGTTGAGTGGTTGAGTGGGTGGGTGAGTGAGTGAGTGGGTGAGTGGGTGGTTGAGTGGGTGAGTGGTTGAGTGGTTGAGTGAGTGAGTGTGTGAGTGAGTGTGTGAGTTGGTGGTTGAGTGGTTGAGTGGGTGGGTGAGTGGGTAGTTGAGTGGTTGAGTGGGTGGTTGAGTGAGTGGTTGAGTGGTTGAGTGAGTGAGTGGTTGAGTGAGTATGTGAGTGAGTGGGTGAGTGAGTGATTAGGTGAGTGGTTGAGTTGGTGAGTAGGTGGTGTTTGAGTGAGTGGGTGGGTGAGTGGGTGGGTGGGTGGTTTAGTATGTGAGTGGGTGGGTGGTTGAGTGAGTGGGTGAGTGAGTGGTTGAGTGGTTGAGTGGTTGAGTGAGTGATTAGGTGGTTGGGTGGGTGAGTGGTTTAGTATGTGAGTGAGTGAGTGGTTGAGTGAGTGAGTTGGTGAGTGAGTGGTTGAGTGGTTGAGTGGGTGGGTGGGTGGTTTAGTATGTGAGTGGGTGGGTGGTTGAGTGGTTGAGTGGTTGAGTGGTTGAGTGGGTGGGTGGTTGAGTGGGTGAGTGGTTGAGTGGTTGAGTGGTTGAGTGAGTGGTTGAGTGAGTGATTAGGTGAGTGGGTGAGTGGGTGGTTGAGTGGTTGAGTGAGTATGTGAGTGAGAGGGTGAGTGAGTGTGTGAGTGGGTGAGTGAGTGAGTGAGTGGTTGAGTGAGTGATTAGGTGGTTGGGTGGGTGAGTGGTTTAGTATGTGAGTGAGTGAGTGGTTGAGTGAGTGAGTTGGTGATTAGGTGGTTGAGTGAGTGAGTGGTTGAGTGATTAGGTGAGTGGGTGGGTGAGTGAGTGGTTGAGTGGGTGTGTGAGTGGGTGGTTGAGTGAGTGGTTGAGTGAGTGGTTGAGTGAGTGGTTGAGTGGGTGGGTGATTAGGTGAGTGAGTGGGTGAGTGGATGAGTGGGTGGTTGAGTGGTTGAGTGGGTGATACACAGATCACACGTGATGGCACGATTACGGTGAGAAGTACTTGACGTTGGCGAGTGCCTTGACGCGTGCGGCAGCGAGCAGGGACTGCGCGGCGATGCGGTGGCTTGCGGGTGATCTCAGGTGGGAGCGTATCCTCAGGACGTCGAGGCGGACGACGGCGATGTGCAGCAGGTACAGGAGCGACAGCGACCAGAGGGCTAATAAGAGGAAGGAGAAGAAGTTGACAAATGTTGAAGGATTATTTTAGGCACATTTTCAGGGCGATTTGGGGGAATTTGGAGAAAGGCGATTTTAGGTCAAGGAGGCAGTGAGGCAGTGAGGGAGGTGGGTGGACAAGGCGAGGGAGGTGGAGGGGCGAAAGAGGGCGATGGAGGGGGAAGATGGGTGGAGGTAAGGCGATTAAGGCGGTGGAGGGGGAAATGTGGAAAATGAGGATTTGGGCGAAGGACGCCGACGGAGGAGGTGATGGAGGGGTGGAGGCAGGGAGCGAAGCGACCAGTGAAGGAGGTGAGGTGAGTGGTTGAGTGGGTGAGTGATTAGGTGAGTGGGTGAGTGAGTGATTAGGTGAGTGGTTGAGTGGTTGGGTGTGTGGTTGAGTGAGTGGTTGAGTGGGTGGTTGAGTGGTTGAGTAGGTGGTGAGTGGGTGAGTGGGTGGTTGAGTGGGTGAGTGGGTGGGTGAGTGATACACAGATCACACGTGAAGGCACGATTATGGTGAGAAGTACTTGACGTTGGCGAGTGCCCTGACGCGTGCGGCGGCGAGGAGGGACTGCGCGGCGATGCGGTGGCTTGAGGGTGATCTCAGGTGTGAGCGTATCCTCAGGACGTCGAGGCGGACGACGGCGATGTGCAGCAGGTACAGGAGCGACAGCGACCAGAGGGCGAGTAAGAGGTAGGAGAATTTACTTCTGATGTCCCATAAGAATTTGGGAATTGTTTCATAAATTAATTTTGCGAGCACATCATTCTTATCTTTCTCTTTGCTTAGCACCCTTTCTAGTGTTTGGCAGAAATCTTTGCACGTACGTCTCATAGTGACGTCTTCATTTCCACTGAGATTGTGTGGGCTCTGAAACACAAATCCGTATTTGCATAACGTTGGCCTAGTGAGTGGGCAATTTGCAATTGATTTGCAGTCTGACATGTGATGCTTATTTTTCAGATCCTTAGCGGTGTCATCAGATTCGTAAGCGGCCTTTACCTTACATGTCACATCACAACTTTTTATGTAGCATTTCGTTCCTGGTTTATTGCAATTGTCGCAACATTCTTTCAAGAGCTTCTCAAGCAAATCGTAAAAGGTTTCAGTCAAGTACACAATCCAAGAGAGGTACTTACCAGCGTTCTGTTTCGAAAATACAAGCCATGTGTTGAGACCCATAGGCTGCAGGTAACGGCCACAAGTAATTTCAGACTCTGCTTCATAATCACAACTGTAAAGACTAAAAAGGTCACCGCTGAGGTGTGTACTTTTCTGGATACCAGTCTGGTCGCCAGGCTTAGGACAATGGTCACTGCTCTTAAATATCGGACTAATGTCCAAGTCGGAATATTGCTCCCCGAAGTAGGCACCGTTGACTGCCTGTTGGAACGCAATGCTCTTATGCTCTATGCCATTCTTACCCCAACCAACGATGAAGTTGTAGTAAAACGAGAATAAATCATCTAACGTCTGAGGCGTTCGCTGCAATAGGCATGTGAAGAAAGAGCATAGGAGACTGAGGGGCTTGTTGTATCGTCCGCAGAGTTCGGCTAGGACATTTTTGAGATCTACGCCCCTCTTCCTGTGCGACGCCATATTACTTATGTCTGTAAAACCCATTGGCGTCTTACATGGAAGACCTCTGTGGTTAGACAGAGTACATTCCAGTTTGCAGCCTGGAGATTTAAACTGATGCGGCAAGAAGCCCTGTAACCCGTCCTCCAGGAAGGATTGTAACGGTGATTTTACGCCGCAGTTTGGATGTTGGTCACCCGTTTGGTCACACTTTTGGTTACATGGTTGGCTGCCTATTTGGTTGGGACATTGGAGAGTGTTGCACTTCCAGTCGGACCCAGCGACGTCCCTGCCGTACCAGCAGTCGGCCCAACTAATATCGTCTGATGCACGCTGACACTGAACCAATAAGAACGAAAGTTGGTGATTCACCCTGTTCAATATATCTATAAGCATATCAAAACAGACACTAGCACTGTTAGGGTAGAGTAAATTATATTTGTTAGTGTAAAAGTCAACGGCATATATGCCGTCAGCGTGGCCGTGGCCGAGGATACTGGTAAGTATCTTTTCGGCCAGGAAGCAAACTTGTAATAGTTTGAATTTTACTTCTTTAGGCGTAATTGATGAGGTGGCAGGAAGATTTAATTCCTCGGTAGGAATGTCCTTGTAATCCCTCTTGTCATCCTTTATAGGTTTAGGGAACAGCGTCTTAACATATTCACCAACTTTCTTATACATCGGATTATAGTACAATCCGAGCAGCCATGTAAGCATTTGGTAAATGTTACACGGAGCCTTTGCGCCGTCTATATGTTCTAGGTGTGTGACTTCGTAAAATGTGTCAAGGTAATAGTGGAGCTTCCGCAGTGAACCGTATCTATCTTTCTTGGCATCGTCATCTCGGAAGACACAATTATAATTACTCCTGCTTACGATTAATTCATGTATATTGCCGCCTGTTTTATTCCGGTTCAAGTCGCCATCTTGCGTGTTCTCATCTTGCGGCACCGTGAAACCATGGTCCATGAACCACTGGCCGAGGGGATTTTCTAATTTAGTGTCAGTCTCATACAAGTAAATTTGTTTATTATTCCAATGACCATCACTTTTACAATCTATTCTTAAATCATTAAGGTCATGGAACACCGTCTCCAGTATGGTCAGGCAGACCTTGGCGCAGTTGCGGCCCTCGGTGGTTAACTGGGTTTCGGGAGGGGTTTTCTGGACTTCACCAGATTTAACTGGCTTATTTTCCACCCAGTCATCTGTACGCTTTTGACCGCTATAAGCGTTAACGTACGCGTGGGAGAGTTCCGCGGTGAATTGCGTCATGCCGGCCTTGAGGGCGTCGAGGAGCAGCGGGTTGTGGAAGCCGTGGAACTTGGAGGGGGAGAGGGCGGAGATGGAAGCATTTAATTCGGTAAGGTATTTGTCAGATTGTTCATCAAATATGTAAATACGTTTTTTAATGGACTGATCTAAATTGGTAATATCATTATGGTTTTTAAGGTAGTCCAGTAAAGTGTCCAGTCTGGTCTTAATGCTCGACACCAACTGGGACTCCTTAGTTGGTGCTGGAGGCCTGGATATATCTGCACTTGGAATGCCTACTTGGTTCTGGATATATTGTAGGAGAGAGTCTTGGAAATCCTTGAGATCGGAGGCGACAACTGGGAATTTTTTAATGGCTTCCGGTGTTTTGATTTTTGACGGATCAACATTATTTTTAATTTCTTCAAGCGTCTCTCTATTACCGTTCATTTTCTTTAGCAAACCTTTAACACCAATTTGTTTGTCCACTCTAATAATCTCTCTCACCTCCTCCAATTTTCGCTCAACCAGCGTATGCAGCGCCTGCAGGTCCGCGATGTGCTGCTCGGCGAAGAGGGAGTGGACTTGTTTGGTGAGTTCAGCGAAGGCATTTTGGACCTCTTTTATTACTTCTGTTTTTAGCCGGTCGGCGGCTTTTTTAGTATTTTTACAGGCAACCTGAAGGGACTGTTGGACACCTTGGATTTCGGCGTCCAATGTACTTTCTGCTATCCTCACTAACTCATGTATATAATTTATTTTGTTATTCATATCATTCTTAAACTGCGCCATAAGCTTTTGTGATTGTTCTTTTCCATCGCAAACGATTTTAGGCAAGTTTTTCAGATTGTCGAGTTCAGCTGACACTACAGCAACGGCGGATTTTAATGTCTGATCGGTTGCAACGAATTTTACCATCAACGTTCCTAAAGTTCTAACCATCACACTGGTGTCCCTGCCAATCGCCGTATTAATTTTCTCTTCAAATCCGGATTGAATTTGATTGCCAAGCGGTCCAAGTTGGTCCGTCATGCCAGAGGTCGTATCTTTAACCTTTTTCACAATTTTGTTGCCAACATCCTTCACATCTCTTATGGCGACCTGCAGTTTGTCAATATCAGGTTGCTGGAGGAACTCTTCAAACTCATCGGCTGCGCTCTTCACAGCCGAGTGCACAGCGATGAGGATGGTTTGGAGTATCCTATTCATATAGAATTCGGCGTGTTGAGGATTGGGGTTAGGCTGCCGTGTCATTACGCTTGGAAGCACCTTTACGATTTCATTGACCATTCGAAGCTTTTCTTCAACCTGCCCGGCGTAATTCCTGAGATACTCTTTAATGGACGTCATATTATCATTAACATTTTTTGCGCTTCCAGGTTTCGGCGTTGCAGTAATTTCTTTAAGCTGCTCCGAAACTTTCCTGGTCAATGTTGTTTTCTCCATTGTTATGTCTGAACGCGCATACCCACTGCCCTTTTTTCCCATGACATACTGCGTTAAATACATCTTCAATCCGTCACTCTCCACAATTCTTCCAACCATATCATCAATCTTCTTCTGGAATCTCACCGGAAATTCCGTTGCATACTGTTTGACTTGCTTAATAAACTTATCCAGAGAGCCAGGGGTCGTCTCATCCTTCGCAATGTGATCAGTGAGCGGCGTCAGTGCATTCTTAATGTGCGTTCCCAACCCATTTTCAACATACGCCTTCAATTGTTTCTTAATATTATTTTTCATTGTATCCAAGTCCCGAATCACCTTTTCTTCTAGCACTTCAACACTATCCTTCACACTTTTAAAATTAGTCGTAAGCGTCGTGCTTGAAGCAGTATATTTCTCCACATGGCCTTTAATATCGTCAAAATGCCATAGAACAGTACTTTTACACTCTGCATCGAACGAATCAACCGCCATCCTCGCCAATGCAATGGCGTCTTTTATGCTGGTAAATTGTTCTTTCAACGTTAACGTATGTAGGTGCCACAGAGCATCATTAATTCCTTGAAATTCCTTCTCCAACGCACTGTAAAAGCCAATGTGTTCACGCGATATGACGTTAGTGAGATCTATTTTACTATCCTCCAACGTCCTATCCACCTCCCTCACCTTCCCTAGCAACTCCCCCTGCTCCGCCGACCCCTTCAGCACCTGCACGGCGCTTTTCACAGCGTCTATCTTATGCATCAATCTATCACGCAACACAGGATCTAAGACATTAACGTTATTAGTTATGAGTGAATCTAATTGTGCTGCTAGTTCAGTGAGCGTTGACCTCCACGAGGTCAACTGATCTTGGAGCTTCCGATCTTGATTACCTAAAATGGAATTAATTTTCTCTACAATGCTAGTGTGACCAAACTTACTAAATTCCATGAAGACATCCGTAGTTTTTTCGTCCACCTGCGCACCATGTCTATTCAACCACTCACTTACCTTATCCACGGCGTCCGGGAAGGCCTCACGGCCTTTACCTACATTATTATGTAAAGTGGTAATAACATTATCAATATTAGGAACATTATTTTTATCATATTTTGTAACGCTCTCATCATCTTTCACACTCTCAAGAACTCCATGCAAGAACGCCATCACCCCGTCGCACAACCTGTCAAGGTCCGAGTACACAATTCCCTCTCCGGTGTAATTACCATTATCGTAGCCGAGAAAATTTTCGAGGCCTGTGCAGAGGTTATTTAATAATGTTGTTGAAGGATTATTTTAGGCACATTTTCAGGGCGATTTGGGGGAATTTGGAGAAAGGCGATTTTAGGTGAAGGAGGCAGCGAGGGAGTGAGGGAGGTGGGTGGACAGGGTGAGGGAGGTGAAGGGGCGAAAGAGGGCGATGAAGGAGGAAGATGGGTTGAGGTAGGGGGATTTTAGGGGTGGAGGGAAGAAGGTGGAAAATGAGGATTTGGGCGAAGGACGCCGACGGAGGAGGTGATGGAGGGGGGTGGAGGGAGCGAAGCGACCAGTGAAAGACGAGGTGGTTGGGTGAGTGAGTGAGTGGGTGAGTATGTGGTTGAGTGGTTAGGTGGGTGAGTGGGTGGTTGAGTGGGTGGTTGAGTGAGTTGGTGAGTGGGTGGGTGAGTGAGTGGTTGAGTGGGTGGGTGGTTGAGTGGTTGAGTGGTTGAGTAGGTGAGTGGTTGAGTTGGTGGGTGGGTGAGTGGGTAATTAGGTGAGTGGGTGGGTGGTTGGGTGAGTGAGTGAGTGGGTGAGTATGTGGTTGAGTGGTTAGGTGGGTGAGTGGGTGGTTGAGTGGGTGGTTGAGTGAGTTGGTGAGTGGGTGGGTGAGTGAGTGGTTGAGTGGGTGGGTGGTTGAGTGGTTGAGTGGTTGAGTAGGTGAGTGGTTGAGTGGTTGAGTGAGTGATACACAGATCACACGTGAAGGCACGATTATGGTGAGAAGTACTTGACGTTGGCGAGTGCCTTGACGCGTGCGGCGGCGAGGAGCGACTGTGCGGCGATGCGGTGGCTTGAGGGCGATCTCAGGTGGGAGCGGATGCGGAGCACGTCGAGGCGGACGACGGCGATGTGCAGCAGGTACAGGAGCGACAGCGACCAGAGGGCTAACAGTAGACACATGAAAGGCCATCTGATTTCTTTTAAGAAATTGTCGCACTCCTTGAACAGATCCTGGAAATACTGTGACTGCAGCACTTTCTTCAACTGACTGCAGAAATCCTTACACTTCTTCGGCGTCTTGCCATCATTCAACGTCGACGCCTCGCCGAAGCTGAATCCATACTGGTAGAATGTAGATGATACTCCTTTACACTGTACTATTGAAGAACACTGACAAGTGTCATCTGCTTTCTTCTCATCCTCAACGACGCCATGCTTGCCACTCTTGCACTTGTCTCCCCTGAGACATCCACGGCATCCCCAGTCTGCACAAGTGATTCCACAGAATGCACTGTACAAATTGTTGAGTAAATCCCAGAATGTCCATGGGAGGTAGATGGCCCATGAGAGGTATGTGTTACCATGCTTGTTACCTAAGTAATAATACGTGTCGCAGCATAGCGGTGAGAGGTACGGAGCGCACAATGCTTTTCCTACAGGATCCACACATGCTGGTGTCATCGCTAGACTAGACACGTCAGCAAATGGGGGAAGGTGATTTTTCTCGCCATTCTTGCCATGTTTATTACGATACGCATTAGTAAGTGCGCTGGTGAGGTCTGTGGATTGCTTGTAAAGGGTAATGGATTGTTTACTAATTGATGTATCGAATTCATCTTTCAATGATTCGATGCCATTACTCTGCTTAGGTTTGGGCGCATTTATACCAGTAAGTAGAGACAACACGAAGCCAAAGTGCTCAGCTATCGTTGCTGGTGGTTTGGGTGAAAGGGACAGCAGGCATGAAATATGGGACTCGTCGAACATTTTGCTCAGCACTTTGCCTAGCTCTTTGCCTGTACGCGTACTTCCAGAGAAACCTCTGAAGCCAAGGGGCGTCAAACATGGTATTCCGGGCGCCGATTTGGAACACGTGCTGCATGACGATCTGCAACCAATTTGGGTAAGATGGTGAGGAAGGTGGCCAGGCAAACTATCACTTAGGTATGACATCAACGGCGATCTGGGACGGCAATCTGACTCATCACTGGGATGTTCATTGCAGTGCGATTTTGCAAATGAGACATCTCTACCGTACTGGCAATTGCGCCAGCCGTTATCTGACGTTCTGATATTACATTGACTAAGCAAAAATCTAAGTGGAGGAAATACTCTACGGAGGATGTCCAGGATCATGTCGAGACACGCTGATGGAACTGACGGATAGTGTAAACCTAGGTGGTTGTTTGAGTAGTCAGATGCGTACATAGTATGGGCGTCGCCGGTACCGAGTATTCTAGTCAATATTAAATGGGAGTAGGATGTAATCTGCTGTAAGGCATGGTGTACATTTTTATCGGTGAATGACGATGGATATGCATCTATGGGCTTAATGGATTTGCCAGATGGATGTTCCTTATCCTCCACTAGGAACAATGTACTGATGTGATCTGTCACTGGTTTATAGACACTATTGTGAGGAAGTCCAGTGAGCCAAGAAAGCATCTCAAATATGCTACAAGGCTGCTTCTTGGCGGAGAATGTTGCTATGTGACCGACGGAGTAATACTCTTTTAGGTGACTATTAAGGCAGCTAAGTAGGTCAGAGAGATTGAAGTTGTCAGCCTTTTGCGGCTGACCGGTTTTAATATTTTTATTTGATCTGCACACATTAAGGTGTTTATTGGTCTGTTCGGTGCCATCAATTTTCTTGTCAAGCATCCTTCCAATTTTTTCACCAGTCATAGTGTCTTTATTTTGTAGTTGACCATCCTGCTTGGATGACCCCGAGGCAACAATGAAACCCATATTTTTCAATAAAGCACCCGGACCAGAAGTTAAGTAAATTGGACGCGAAGGATAGTTTGCCGTGCATTGGTTTTTTAAATACATCAACTCATCGAGCAACGTCTCCAGTATGGTCAGGCAGACCTTGGCGCAGTTGCGGCCCTCGGTGGTTAGCTGGGTTTCAGCTGGTACAACGGCTTTACCATCTGTATCTTTTTTAGGTTCAGTTAATGCACCTACAAAGTGTTTACCACTGTATTTATTCACGTACGCGCGGGAGAGTTGCTCGGTGAATTTGGTCATGCCGCGCCTGAGGGCGTCGAGGAGCAGCGGGTTGTGGAAGCCGTGGAAGTTGGAGGGGGAGAGGGCGGAGATGGAAGAGGAAAGGGAGGAAAGTAATTCATCAAATGTATGGTCGAATAGATATTTTCTATCATTTCGAGAATTTTCTTTCAAGTGAATTAACAATTCGGTCAGTGCACTCCTGAGATCCCAGAGGCCATTGGACTTCTTGGTGGTCTCCGACTTATTATCAGGGAACTTCACTTCATGAGTAATATAAGACAATAATGGATCCACATAGTCTTTCAATTTCTTCGACAAATTGGTGAATGTATTACGATAGTCCTCACCCGTCGGAGTCTTCTGAACTGAATCAGGCACGGCATCCTTGAGTTCAGTAAGTAATGTAGAATTCTTCGATTCTTGAAATTTGGCACCGCCTTTTTCTGCAACATAAGGAATTCCCTGCACCGTCTTCAGCATCCCCTTCACGCCCGTGACTGCGTCCGTGTCGATTATGCTTTGCACTTCCTGCAGTTGCGTTTCGACGAGCGCGCGCAGGGCCTGGAGGTCGGCGGCGTGGGAGGTGGAGAAGAGGGATTGGACGGAATTTGTGAGGGTGGTGAAGGCATTTTTGGTGGCTTCTAAGAGATGCTGTTTGAGTTTCGTGATCTCAGTGATGAGAGTGTGACGTGCGTTACTGTACACGTTGTACAAGGCGGTGATGGCTTGCGCCAATGTCTCGTCTGCTGTGTTGACGGCCAGACGTATGACGTGAAGTTTGTCCTTTATAGCATCCTTCAACTGGTCTATTTTTGCATCGGCTTCATTCTTCACTTTTTCTATGCTTAGTGTTTCATTTTTATCCTTTATAGAAATTTTCTCAAGCTCATCAATAACATTGCTCTGTATTTCCGTAATTTTCCTGTCAATTTTACCATCCTTCTCACCCTTCTTAACATATGCGTCAAGTTTTGTCAGAATATGCGCTTTTAATTCCGCCAATTTCTGGCCGACTATAGAGTCATCAAATTCATCGACGTCATCAATCTTTCTATGAGCTTCTAGCACTTTTGCGGCGGCGTCCGTAATTGCCTTTTTGGCGGCCCCTGTAATTTCTCCTTTAGAAACATCGTTGAACGCATTAATTGCAACATAGAGCTTGTCTATTTTAGTCTGCAGATGTTTTTTGACACCAGACTTGAAGCGCTCTGCAAGCTTGTTATTCACATCAGTCCTTAATTCATGAATGGTCTCGTCGATTTGCTGGACAAAATTGCTGCCTTTCGGATTTATGCCAAGAACCTTTTCAAGATTCCCTAAAAGACCCTCGGCTGGTGATGTTAGACCGGATGACGACATACTCGGAAAGGCGTGCGTTAGTATCCGCACATCACTGTGCAACTTATTCATGAACCCTACCAGCCCTTTATCTGTCCTTCCTCCAATTTCCTCTTCTAACGCTTTAAACATATTTACGATTTGTTCTACAGTCCCGCTAACCTTTTCCTGGATGTTTTGCCTGAATTTTGCATCCATACCTGCACCTGCCTCCCACATTATATTATTAGCAGCGCCAGTAAGCCCAAGCCTAGCGGTTGAGAGTGCCGCCAACTGCTTACCAACAAGACCCTTCCCGTCAGCATTACTCTCCTCAATTTCCCTCGACATCCCACTAATATTACTTTTCAGAATTTGCAAATCCCCCTGAACACCCTGTTTCACAGCTCTCTCAAGTTCATCCGACAGCGTCTCTAGTATTGCTTGCATCGCACTAAACAAACTGACGAGTTCTGCTTTTTTGTCGAATAGTGTATTGTAAACCTGACTAACGTTGTGCTTTATAGTATCAAAATGGTTCAGAATGTCTGTCTTATAATTCCACTCAAATTGCTTATCCAGGAATATCTGCGCATTATCCAAGGCCAACACGATACTGTCAATGTGGGTACGCTTCG